ACCATCACGTCATATAGTTACTTGTCTCTACTCGAATTCTTCAGAGTGGAAACATTGTCTTCATTATGTCTAGCCACAGTTTACGCCTGAAATATAGTATTTATCTTCCAACCATACAGCTAACTTCAGATTGATAAAGTTATAAAATAATAATATTGATAATTATGATAAAGGGGGTGATAATGATCACAACGACAATGACGAAGATGACAAGAAGTAATAAATATAAAAATGATACTCTAAATGATAATGATAATGATAATAGTAATAGTGATAATAATAATCACAATAATGATAATGATAATAGTAATAGTGATAATAATAATCATAATAATGATAATGATAATAGTAATAGTAATAGTGATAATAATAATCACAATAATGATAATGATAATAGTAATAGTGATAATGATAATCACAATAATGATAATGATAATGATAATAGTAATAGTGATAATGATAATCACAATAATGATAATGATAATAGTAATAGTGATAATAATAATCACAATAATGATACTGATAATAGTAATAGTGATAATGATAATCACAATAATGATAATGATACAAATATCGTTTCCCATTCTTGATCACGTAACGAAATGTGAGACTGCGAAGATGCGTTTATGTTGCATTAATTTTCGCTATCCTTCAATTCGTTATTACATTAAAGAACGGGTTCTACATGACATGTTTTGATTTGTTTAAAATAACAAACCCGTTATAGAGGTTGCATGTTGAATACTTGTATGCCGTTGATGTTTTACGGTGTCCAGTGTCCTTGGTCCTGTGAAATGTAGGCCATCAATGTCATTAGAGCTACTGACCGAGAAACGTTGTCAACTTAGTGGCCATTTGAGTAATGACATTTGTGATTTCGAGTTGCCATGGGACTTAAGATTGTTGCTTTACCAAAGATGAGGTCAATGGCATCTTGAAGGGGATTAAAGCATGCAATTTTCGCTTTATAATTGATATAACTTAATATGGGGGTACCCTTTTTTCAGATTGAAAATATTATGTCAAATTAAACCAATTTATGACGTTATTATCTCAAAGCTGCAAATAGTAATAAAAATATTAAGCGCCCTTGAGAAAATGATGACTGGAATTGCAAGTATGACAGACGTCTGAAAATTAGAATAGCACAAAAGCAATCTAAAAGTGTCCCCGATAATCGTAAAAACTCGTAATAATTCCTTTCAGATTGAATTTCCAGCAGATTCGGCAACAGTGATGACTCCAGCCTCCAGAGATTGGGGCTACAAATTGGGGGCAGACTGACTCACTCGCATGCCTCTCATGTTGCGTCTGTGAGGATTCTCCAAAGAAAATTTGAATTGATTTGTAGCATTTTGACATATACTTTTGTGCAATAACATATACAAATCTATATTTTTTAATTTGTTAAAATTATAAAATTATAGTGGGGGTCAAATTTGAAAACCAATTTTTTAGGAAGTGGGGGGTGGCGGTGGCGCCCCCCCCCCCCTTTTGTTTCCCAAATAACGTCGCCACTGCTCGACAATTTATTTGATTCAATCCAATGCAAGTTCTCATTTCAAATAATGATGAGGGGTAAGGGCTAAATCTAAATTCAATTAAATGCGAAATCAGAAAATTGTGGAATTACATCCTTTTAGTGTTAATAAACATAATTACTACTGTTTCGCGCGTGATAGAAATATTGCGGATAAAAACCATTTAAAGTTTCTTGACAACCAATTCTGATTAATTTAATTTCACATTATTTGATTAGATTTGTACTTGGCTATTGTCTAGGGACTTTTACATTGTCAAAAACATCCAATAAAAATTCCCAGCAAGTTTCTTTTTATGACCATTACAACGCTGATTGTTAAAGGTTTTGTAGGTTTTTTTAAAGGCCTTGTACGCCATATTCGTAGGTTGAACATAACATGTAATATAATATATTATAGTCTTCAGAAGTCACACATGGATTTGATGACTCAAATTTAGAGGTGGGCTGTTACTGATTAGCTAGGCTAAAGAAATATTTCGCGACTATGGTTCAATTGGTCAAACGAATGGGAAATGTATCGAGTATAGCCCAGTAAAACTGTTTCTGCTAATCCGGGTCAGATTCATACATACATGAGTAACGTCCATTTACTCTTTTAAGTAGTAATATTCACAATTTAGGTTCAGTTTGTATAGTTCCACATATACTATTTTGACTTTCTAAGGATAAAGTGGACTGCTGGAATCGAAGTCGAATCGAGCGGAAATTTTCTGGACATTTGTGGCATTTCAAGCCCCGATATAATATTTATATATCCTTGCAGCGAGCAGCTACAAATTATTTGCCCCAAAAATATCATATTTTAATCACATCAAATACAAAATATAGAAACATTTGACATAAAATATTTCGAAATCATTGATATAAACTTTCAATTTAATTTTTGTAATATATTTGATTCCTTGTTTGAGAAGATATCTTGAAAAATGATATTTTTGCTTATTAAATATTTTATAGTTTTAATGTCATTGACACATCAGAAGTAAATTAAAATGCTCTGATATTGTATCATTCATTGAAATGATTTGATCTGGAAATCTTTTAACACAATCTTTTCTGATGCAAATTCATTTATCGAGGGTGTTATGTGGCACAGTGAGCGTTGGGAACATAACATCACGTCATTTTCTTGGTTATGTCAAATAAATGGTGGTCGTGAGTTTATGTCGATCTGTGTATAAAAGTCGGATGAACTTGAATTCGTTGTCTGTTCTCATTATTTCAGTCGACCCAGATGTAATTGGGTACAGATAATATGGCAAAGCTGAATGACAAAAGGTTTGTCAAAATATATAGTATCCTCGTGAACCTAAGTTGTTATCCTTGTAAAATATAGCTTCTGGGGAGCAGATATGTGACCACTATAGTTAACATAATTTAATAGAGAATGTATGTTACAGTACAGTTTTGATATGGAATTTTCGATTTCAATCTGCAAATCGTTCTCTCTGTTTCAGGAATCTTCAAAGTGGAGGAAAACGAAAACAAGTCACAGAAAATGTTGAACAGTGATTGAAATTGGTTCTTGTTTGGTTCAAAGGAAAATCATATCAACAACATATTCGCGGTAAGCCATAAGATATATGACACAAAAAATATCAATCTGTGGCAGGTCTAAATCGGATTTCCTAATCGGAATGCACAGAAAAACAGATAAGATTTAAATTGCCTTCTTAAAATGAGAGTTCTTAATTCTTATGAAAATATTTCTACTTTTGATCTTAAAAAAAACATTATTCGTCGGAAAAGGAATAATACTCTAATCTGTCTGAGGGATTATCACCATATATGAACAAATTTGTTATCTTGGTGGCGATACGAGTATACTCTTGGAAACAACATTTATTTTAAAGTTTAAAGACCTTCGGAGATTTCAGTGTGGGATAGTGCTTTTCGAGGTTGGGGGGACTGCTCCGCCACTGTGTAGAGGAAATCTGTTGTATATTTGTGACACCATGTAATATTAATGATGACTATAGATTTATTTCGGCCATGTGTAAACAGAAAGTTTTGGTCGTTCTAAGAGGTATTATTCCTCTAAACCCATTTTAGACGACTATATCCCTTTCAAACACACAATTAATTCTGTAATTTCCCTTTCAGATTCAGTTGAAAGGTTTCCAGGTTGCACTTGTCTCGGAGACAGAAAGGAGGAAAAATTTATTTGGCCTCATTTTTCACATTGATAGATTAAACCAGAAAATTTATTAATAATTTTTTTTTTGCTGACTGGCGCCTGCAGAAATAAGTTTTTATGTAAAGGTGCGATATTGCTAATATAAGACAATAACGCCCCGGAGACAAGTTTTCTATGTCCGTTCTGACGCTGAAATACCTTTCATTTAATCAATATCCATTTAAATGGCTCGTGTTATTAAAAAAATATTTTTATGAATTCAATGTTATATTACGAAGCACGACATAAATTGTGAAGATTATTGAAAAACGTTTCAGTTTTTTTTTGTTAAAGACTCAAATTGGTAATATTTGGTGGTAGACGGAATTTCGAAGCACTGTTAACACACTTGTGAAACAGTAATTTGGATTGTACACGAACATGTGCAGAGAACGCGATATGAGCATTTCTTCTGATGACATATTACATATAATTCAATCAAAATCTGAAAATAAATAACTGTGTTGCGTTTTAATCTCAAGTGGTGCGTTAGACGGTAGATCTAGTTGGTTATTGAATTGGTGTCTCTGCGGCATTCTACAACAGACTCATTGTAAAGACGAAGTTTTCAATTGTGTTGCATCCTACTACAGACAAACTTTGATTTATATAACATCGAAGTAATGATATAGAGAGAACGTTGTTGTATTCAGCATCGAATTGAAGACATTCTGATAGGAGCGTTGCATCCTGCTACAAGCCTTGCACGAGGAAAAGTTTAAAAAAAAGACTCAAGTTTACAACAGCAACCCACCGAGAATACCTAAATTCGTTACATTCTACTACGCCAGATTCTAAAATGGTGAATGTTATTTAAGAAACATCGTTACGCTTCAAGAATATCTAAAGTGTACAATTACAAAGTTGGAGCGAAACTGATTTTCCAAAGTACTAACCATGAGCCATCTGTGATTGTACAAAGACTTAATGCCGAATTGACGACTAATGTTGAGGATGAAATAATCATATTACGAAGTACCAAGATTTTACCAATATTTGTCATCCTGAATTAGATACAGTTTTGATTGACCAAAAGTGTGTAACTTAGTGTCTGTGAAAGTCATAAGATTCGGCAATATTGGTCCAATATCCGTCGATATAGACTGTAAGGAGCCCCAAGACATTCCTAAAAGTAAATCGTATAGACCACAGAATGGATAAAATTCTAATCATAGAGAATTGTTTATCAATGGAAACACAAATTGGACCATATCATTAAAACAACCGTACTAGGAAGTTTCTGAACAAGTTTCGTTCTTGGCGAAGACATTTGAATACATAATGGCTTTGGTTTCAACTATGCTACTTCTGCTGTTGCTCAAATCTGCTCATTGTATCAAACAAAAACCAACGGTGAGTATACCATTTCTTCTTCTGTATTCTTCTTTTAATCTTCTTCTATTTTTCTTCACATTCTTCTTTTATTATTCTTTTATTCCTATTATTCTTTTCTTATCTCATGTATTCTTTTATGATTCTTCTTTTCTTTTGTTATTAATATTCTTTAATTATTATTATTCTTTTATTCTTCCTTGGTTATTCTTTTATTCCACTTCGTTTAGTCTTCCTTGTTCTTCTTCTAATTTTTTGTTGTTGTTCTTGTTTTTTGTTTTTCTTTTTTTCTTATATAAATATTATTTTTCTTATTATTATTCTTCTTTTAATGTGCAAAAGAGTATATAGGAATGCTGCATCGAAAAGGGCAAAAATTATTACTTTATCTACTTGTAATCAACAATCACCAGCAGGGACAAAAGAGCCTCATTGTTCAAGTATATTTCTCTTTCAAAATAATTCAATTTATTTAGCTTGGATTATCCAAACACAATTTTTCTTAACATCTGTTTCCAGCACTTCACTTTAAATAGTTGAAATAAGCGATTTTCAGCAAAACTTATAAGATTGCAACCTTTTTAGCTGGGATTCTTTATCCTTTGTGAACTTAATTTAAAACAGTACTGGATATTGGATCCCCACTTCAACTCGATCCATTGAAGTTGAGCCATAACACAGAGCCTTTGAACGAGGTACATGTATCTTCACATAATTGGGTAGACTTGACGACAAATCACAGAAAAGACATGGAGAATATCAGTAATTAAATTGTATGAAATATGAAACTCCCTGTAGATCTCTATACATTACTAGTCCAGATTAACAATTATATAGCATACGAATCTAATCATACTCTCTACATTTCATTACGATTTCTTATTTCACGTTAGTCAGACTCGGTTACCTTATGTCTTTTTTTGTTTTATTGTTCGTGTATGATATTCCCTGGTGGTAACTAAGGTAAACAAGTATGACGATCAAAACGTCACGTCTAAAATTCTTTATCTATAAGACATCAATTAAAATCATAATAATCATACTCTTTCTGGAAATTCAAGAATCACACGCTTGCGGAAAATTGGATTATCACTAATTGAAGACACAAGTGTCACCGAAAAGGATAGAAAACTCCAGAAATAAACCCAGTAAAATGATACATGGCCTTAATCAGAATTTCCGAGATTTTGAATAACAATAGCAAGCAACGAAAGAGAGAAACAGAAATTTACGTCATGATGATCCTTTCAGGTCAAACCTCTAGCATTGATCTTTCTCCATTTCTGACCCATTAACAACGAGTCGACTCGAATAATGAGTCGCCAACCGATATTGGAACCTACGACCATTATTTTTTTTAAATTACCAAGCTAATGATGTCATAAATAGATTCCGTCGTTCTTACCAACTGTGCTACAAGCAGCCAATAATCAATTAAAAGATTGATTTCTAATATTGTGTTTATGGTGGGATTGATGGTATAGTCATGATAAAACGTGTATAATTTCACCCAAAAAACACATATAGACTGAATAACGATTATTAGTTCCGACTACAGATTCTACGATTTATTGTTAAAAGCTATTTTTTTTTAATTGACAAAAATTTATTTAAACACACCAATCTGGAGACACTGAGTTTGATTTTGATTCCATTTGATTTTGTCATTGGTTTCTGAAACTTAAGGTGCCCCACACTATAGCGGACACATGGTGCATGTGGTTGCGAATAAGAATATCGGTCATTAGTGTCGAACGCAACTTTCATGCTACTGAGTTGTGAGTTCCGTTTTGAAGTCATGGCCACCTTCATTATTTGCGACCACACGCAACTGGTGTGAGGGCACCTTAACTTTCACAAGGCCATGTTCCCAACTTAAGTATAATAACTTCTCTTCGCGGATACCACTTTTTATATACGTCGGTTGGAGGGTTACAGAAACTTTTTTCATAAAGACCTCTAGTCACCTCTTTGCTCGGGTTTCTGGCTAGATTTTACCTAAAGTCCGGCTTAAAAAATCAATCAGTGTGCAGTGGTTCACTGGCGTCCTGTGACACAATTGGGAGTGATCTGACGCGGTAAATTGAGAGACGTAATGACGTTTTTGGCAGTGTGTGTGTGATCCTTAATTATTTATCCAAACAGTCTACCTTGAAAGTTCTACAACAGATTCTGCTTTACGGAAACTGCTGAGGATTGCCGAATACACTTATCACGCGCTCAATTCACCTTTGCCGAATAGTACTGTATAAGACCGCCAAAAACGCGGCACTAGCGAAAATGTGTCGTCGAGCTGAATGCACGTCCGGAGACATTCACGCCGTCATAGTGCGCTTTTATTACCTAAATATCGAACTATGTCTATTTGTGTTTTCTAATGTACGTTAATATTTATACAATAATACTTAAAGTTTGTAGTTTTTCTTACGTTTGTTTATATAAAAAATCTACATTATCAACAAAGTATCTGCACCAAAAGAACTCTCTCTATATATTTGTCAAAACATTTTTCATAACGCATTTATTTTTTACTCATAAGGGATTTTAAAGAAGTTTTCTAAACGTTTTATGTGTATTGGACACTGATAGCCTCAATTTGTTCCTTTCCGATTTCCAATCCCATTATTACAACTATGACATAGGAAAAGCTACTTATGATACTTATGATATGCAAGTTACTGTGCAGTAGTAAATTCATATAATTTAAAAGATTTAACAAAATTGCTAGAATCACAGACGCCTGATTTGAAATTGAAATGGAGCAAATCGTTACTATCAGTGTCCCCGATACAAATAAAAAGTTTACAAAATCTTTTTACAATCCCTTTAAATAGAACAAACTCATTTTTTTACTCTTAACGAAAACTTCAAGTCGAGAAATGAAAACTGAAAGGAAAGGAAATAGTCTGGCGATTCCATTGTAATTTTTCTTTTTTAGGTCTTTCAGAAAACTTGTTTGCGTATAAAGTCTGAGATTTTTCATATTCTTCCATTGATACAAGCAACATGACTTGGAATGTATTCTGGTAATGATAAAGAACCCCAGTAGTGAATGGAATGAGAATAAATAGTCTAAAATGAAACTTCAATTTAAAGTAGCATTGCTTAAATAAAGTATGTTTTGAATTGTCCGACTTACTGCACTGACTGAACAGATGATAACTTGCAATGGGTTAATAAACATGGGTTGATAAAGGCGGAATGGCGTCATTAGTGCTAGATATCTTTGATATAAAACTTCCGACTATATTATTATATTCCCGTTCACAAAATACCAAAATCGATATTGCTTCACAAGCTTTGAAAAAAAAGACAAATTTGATTTTTCGAAATATTACAAGTGTTACGAGATGATGCCAATAGCAGAACGATTAACTCGATTGATCGATATTGATATATAGAGGAAAAACTCAATGCTTTACCGTTCAAAGTTAATTTAAGTGTTAAACTGTTTCGTGACTGAAATAATATCCCATTTTTGGGGTTTTTGTATGTTTTTTGATGTGCAAGCACAAATTATGAATTCAATAAGCAGTTATAACTAGCTTAATATGAAACGTTTACATGTACAAACTAAGCCAATGAGCTCAGTGAACATGAATCAATATTTATATGCAAGGTCTTGATGAAAGATTAGCTGGTAGAAAGGATTCTTTTTGAAGTTGTTGTCCTTGTAAATAAAGTCTAGTTGTTAGCTTCTTTCTCCTCCAGATAGTTATATGTAATATGGTTTTAGAAGGTAAAATTTCAACAAGAATGACTGCACTAGAGGCTTAATTTCAGGCACAAATGATAATACATGTACTATTGTCTCGAAAAACCAATCAGGTCTATTAATTTTTTTTACATTAAGTGGATGGCGACAAATAATTGGTAGTTCGAGGATATTTTTTTAAGAAAATTCTATGTGAAAATTACACACTATTAAACCCGAGACGAACAATTTTTTTTCTCTATCGTGTACGTCAATAGAACCTGATCATTAGACAGATTGTTCTAGCGTCGTTTTATATACTTTTCATTAAAAAAGAAGAAAAGAATTAAAGATGATGTGAAATTTAAAAAAAAATTGCACGACTTTCTCGTATATTTATGGTTTTCCCTGCGCATAAGGAGTGGCCCTGGATGATCAAGGCTGTACCTGGAGAATCTCAAAGAACAGAGTTCTCTGATTAGGTTAAAGCAGCTAATATAGTTTAAAGACTCAGATAACCCACTTTAAATTTCGAAAAAAGCTAATTTTATGTCTCCTTAGAATTATTGATTGTAGTAGTATTAGGGTTAAAACAGAAGCTATAAGTGACCCCGATACTATAAAAAGCTAGAACAGCAGCTTTCTACAACCCCTTTTATGTCAGCATGTACTTGGACTAAGGTGACATCAGGACTGGAAATTTGCCGCCATCGTGTTTGTCTTTTGGGGTTAATACGATTAGACTTCGCCAGCTTATATTTAGATCTAGAAACATCTGTAGTGTAAAATCCCCACTGTGAAACAACCTATCAATTTTATGTGTTTTAATCCACGAGTTCTTTATAGTGTGAATTTTCCAAGATATTACTCAGTCTAATATCTTTCAGTTTACTGTCGAGGGTCTTGAAAGGTTTTATTTAGCTTTCGGGGAATAAAGAGGTTTGATTCTCCCAAAATGTTAAAGAAAGAGTGTGGAAGGCTTCTGATCGAGATATTTTCAAAAACGTTTTCATTAGCACGAATGATACGCACCTCGTAGTATGACTACGCCCTCGTGCAGTATTGAAAGCCTACAGCCACGAGTGTATATTTCACAATATATACACTATGTCTATGCCATACGTCTCATTTTTACCCTATATATTCTATTCTCATTTTATACATCATATTCTCATTCTACATATTATCATATTGTTCCATTTGTATATGAATATTCTATCTGTTTTCTTAATACCCTATTTTTTCTACTTGTTTATATATCCTATTCGTATTCTATATATTCTTTTCTATATTATCCTATTTAAAGCCAAATATCCAATTTTTATTCGATATATCCTATTTATATTCTATATATCCTATTAATATTTTATACATTATAAAATGTATTAATATATCCTATTTATTTGTATTTTTATATATTCAATTTTTTTTTTAATATCCTAATATTTTATTTCATATATCCTATTTTGATTCTAATTATCCTATTCTCACCCTTAATATCCAGTTTTTATTGTATATATCCTATTCTTATATAATTTTCCTATTTTGATTCTATATTTAGAATGTTAAAGAGCAGTATGTAGTGTTGTATAATGCGGGTGTGAAGTGTTATGAGAAACTCAACTCGACCAAGAAACCAGATGACGGTAGGTACATTAAGTAGACTATCAAAATATCCATTGATGTTGCTCTTCCGTAGACATCTATACTCTCTTCATTGAAGGTTTACCACTTGAGTAGTTTCATTCAGCAATTGTGATTGGAAAGAGTCCTTTGAAGGTGAATGGTGGTGTCCAACAAAATACTGGATATTTGCTGGTCCCATACTATAGCATTACCTTCGTGTAATACCAACATTAAGCTTGTTACATGGGCAATTATTGTAAAAGTCTGCCGTATATTTGTGTATGATTTATATGTAATTTACATATTGACCAAAAATACCGTATATCATATAGACTTTTGAAATAATTCAGTTTTCTATCTTCATTCAGGTCTATATTGTGATATGGTTTTTGACGGTGTTATGTGTTGGGATTATACTCCAGCAGGTCAGTCAGCTGTACAGTCCTGTCCCAGTTATGTCTCTGGCTTTAACACTAGAGGTAAGCTGCTTCCTTCATTCAGCTTCCCCCCAGATACGTCTTCAACATTTCAAAGATATAGTCGAAATTTAGATATGGGAGGGACTTGGTCAAAGATGTATAGTGGACTTTTCAGACTTTCTGCAAAAATGTACAATACATGTTTCAATATGAACAGTACACAAACCACACGCATGGGATGCACATTTATTTATATACCTACTCTAGACATTCAAAGATCTAAAGTAGACATAAATTGTACAATGGACAAATGGACAGATCTTTTTGTACTGATTGCAAAGCTTATAACCATGCAAAGTAAGTTATGACCATTATGATATTGCAGGCGATAGTCTTTCATGTATTATAGATGAGGACTTCTCTAAACGTGGACACGAACTCACAAGAAGGAATAGCACAACAAAGCTAAGTTGTTAGATTTCGTATATCCTCAATGAATTCCACATATTTGACTCTGTTTTCAGCTTCGGCCAAGAGAAAATGTTTGGAAACAGGAGAATGGTACGTTAACCCTCAATATAATCAAACCTGGACTGATATGCTATCTTGCAAACGATTTCTCATGGAGGTTAGTGAAACACTTTTTGGAGGTTTGATTATCAATCGAGCCAATCAACACGATTCTACATACGGTTTGTTTTGTAGATATTAACACATGTACAAACTCGTGAATAAAATATGAGTACGGGCAATACTTCTCGTATGAACAAAACTTGTGTTAATTGGTAAAATTTATCGTCTCATGCGAAACTTTTTGGATAAAGTGATCATGATTTCATTTATGTTTTATAAGGGTTAAATCGACGATACCTATATCTAAATGCATAGTAGAATTCTGGAAATAACACACACGAACGTATTTCACAGTCATTTTGAATCTGGAATATTTTTAGAAGCGCTATGTAATTCTTGTAAATTCATCTTCTTTACAGATTCACCTTCCGAAGATATCGTTACTGGCAAGAATAGGATACAGTATTTCTATTGTCTTCTTACTTCTAGCAATAGCTATTATGATATACTTCAAGTAAGTTAGTTCTATGTGAATGCCCCCTTTAAAATTTAAAACACTGTGGAAGAAAATAATAAAATATTTTCACTCTAAAAATAGTGCTCAATACAACAATTGTATTAAAACGTAATATTATTAGAACGTAATAAAACAACATGTTATTTTTGGTTCTGTTGTAGTATGTCTATGAATATAAAGATAATATTTAATGTTGTTTTCTGGCAGGACTGGGAAACATGAAGGCAAAACAGGATTGTTCATGTTTTGTTGGTTTTTTAGTAGGGGGATCACTGTGTGATCTCTATACACAGTGTTCCGATTTGTAAGTGCTTACGACCCCTCATAACTTTTCAGGTCCGTTAGCTTCAGCTCCAAGGGAGAGTTGGCGTGGAAGATCCGACAGTAGGCTAAAATATAGATTTATGGCGTCGACTTTCCCAAAATAGAAATCGCCTCCTGCACTGACACATTTCTATAGTAAGCGTCTTCGAGAATATAATTTTTCTGTTAAATTTCAGGAAACTTCACTGTCAAAGAAATACTATCCATGTGAACCTGTTTCTATCCTGTTTATTACGAGCTGTGCTATGTCTGTTAAAAGAGTTTACTATTGTAAAGGGCATAGGTTTTGAAATGGATATTGAATATGACGCCAATGGAAAAGTTAATTTCAAAGAAGAGGGAACAGTAAGTAGTTACCACCTGTGATATTCGAAACGCAGGTTGGTAGCACAGGATAAGATCATTTTTTATTTCAAATTTCTTATCATTAAGAAATAATCGCATTTTAACCCTATTTGACAATTGTGTGGCCACTTCACATGAAATGTCTGTGTATCAGCTCATATTCATTTCCGTTTCCGTTTAAACGGGGGCTTATTATTTACAGTGACAGATATTTCCAGATTTATGTAAGGGTAAGAAGGGGGCGCATTATATTCACAATTATACAGTTTTAAGACGTCATTTAAAATACCCGGAGTATCGCACTGGAAATGACGCCTAATTTGTCTCACTAACTGCACCTGTGTGTTGGGTTGGGTTGGGTTGACGCCTGAGCTTGATTGGAAGCTGAAATTGAGCTCACTGTCAACTGGTAAAGCTATATAGACGACATAAACAAACCTCTCAGATTTTCAAGTGAAAACATAGTTTTCTTTACCTTAAAAATTCCGAATTCTGTAAGTCATTGACTTACAATGTGACATGCACTGCATAACAATCCCATTGTCATTAACAAATGTGACGTGCAGCGCATTAGATATATTGTTATACGTTGTTATTTATTTGCCTCTCGTCTGCAACAGTCCATAATTGTATGATGGTCTATCAATTTTCAGTCGCCCTCGGATCAAATAAGACCCTTGAGTGCCATTAAGTCGTCTCAATATGATGACTGCAGACAATATTGTTAGTGGTTGTTGAATACCAAGACTGATAAATGAGTTTCTACGATTCTTCAATTCTACGTTTCTGGCACATCCTTAGAATAATATCTTGGAACATTAATCAATTTTACTCAACACATTTTCTGATGTTCTTCTGAACTAAACGTGAAATAGAGTCATGTAACTAGAACGAGCTTTATTCGCAAGAGCATTGAAATCTTTACAGGTCGCCATTTGCTTACGTTGAACAACTGGCGGTTGTGGGTTCTAATCCCGGTCGGCGTGTAAAGGTCTGGTGACCTTGAATAAGCCATCTTTCCTCATTATTCCAGTCGACCGAATTGTGAATGGGTACGGGTAATCCGGGAAAGATTAATACCAAGAGGTTTTGTCAAAGACCAATTTTCTGTCCAAAATGTTTTGATATGGTTTCAGCTAGGTCTGTAACGTAACGATTTAACAGACTAATTTACAGTCTTCCGTGAAAATTCCGCTTACACCCTGCGACATATTCAGTTTTACAGAAACTACCGAAGGCCGATTGATTTACAATCTATCCTTGGGTCATTTCTTACCACGCTTCCAAATTCATTTATACTTTAGAAATGCTGCATTGACAAAGTGGATTGAGGGGGAAGGGGGCGTTTATTGTGTAAAGTGAATAGCTACGTCTATAGTTCTTGTAATTCCGTAGAATGACCAAGAGGATATTTTCGTCCACCGACACAGTCATTAGTAATACAATTAGTATTTGATCTTATAAGCTTTAAGCCTTCTTGATTAAATTTTAATAAAGACGTTAAGACTTTCAGAATTAATTCTGATGGCGGTTTAGTTCGACTTGATTAATCAGAACTGTTTGGCAGGTCCGATTGGCATGATTAAAGCCAAGAGGCGGACAAAGGTATAAAATTATTCAGAAATAGCCAGAAATTTATTCAATTAGTCTCATCTTAAGATCACAAAGCAGTAAATCATGCTTTCGTCGGAGTCCTAACCCCCGACTTGAACGTCAATTACGACAGGCAGAAACCGATTCAAGGCTAAACAAAGCGATAAATAAACGTTAGCAGACAGGCTAAACAATCCCATAAATTGATCAGGAAATGGGATTATGTATGCTTAATGCATAAATCATTGAGAATCAGTGAGTTCGTGTGGTGGAGATAGAACAGTGTAATGTGAGGCTTAATTAGATTTATGAATGATTACACCAACAATTTCTATGTGTCGCTATCAATATCTGTTTAAATTATGATCGGTTTACGTTTCACATGCGACGACATCCAATCCTATATATATTTTTAAAGACTTGACTGAAATGCCACAAAATATTTTGATGGTAGAAGTTAACGTCAACAGTTAACTGATATCACAGACAGAGTAACTGTTTTTAATGACCGCTTCCAGCTCACTGATATTTCAGACAAATTAACGCCTGTTTTCAGTTAACTGATATCACAGACTTGGTATTTGAGAACGTCCGCTTCCTGTTAAGTGTATCACAGACTTGGTAGTTGTTAGTAGATGACCCAATGGAATAATGAGACAAGATGACTAATTGAATCAAACTTTCAATCACCGAGATTATAACCCACAGCCTCCATCTTATCGATGTAACCTAGCAAATGGCGTCTTATAAATATTCGAACATTCAAATCGACTGTGCAGCAGTTCGTCCGCAAGTAAGACTGAAAGAGTTATTTTTAAGTGATATTTACTTTTGGGAGACAAACGGCCATCAGAGGGATAAACCACCTTAATCTTCGAGTTGGGGATCCGGGATATTAATTGTAACCGCGATTCATTCTTTTTGGAGACAAAACGCCCTGGCTCTGAAACCAATCCACTTATATTATGACAAAATATGAAACGGTACATAAAGTCAATCACTTCGATAGTATAGGGGTTAGGGGTCAGATGTTAGAAGTTCACTGATTGTTTCTTCAGAATTAATTAATTGGTTGGAATGGGCAAGTCAATAGGCATACAATGATCTGCATATTAATCTATCAAGCTATATGGGGCGATCGAATCAATAACATTTCCCACTTCAGTATTGATAAGCAGGACTGGCTTCATTCAAACTGACTAAAATTAGATCTGCTAAAGCCCCTTTTACACCAGGCAACTATAAACGTTCTAATCTCCATCAGGTACGATTGATCGTAAGGTTTTTTGAGAAACGGTAGCGATAAAATATGCTCATTTACATTTAGCCTACAGTAAAATGAAGTGATCTGAATATGGTTTCTCAATATTGTAGTGTAAATAAAAACTTTTTCTCGTCGCTTTTCTTTGGAACTCTTCTTAAAGAAGATGAAATAAGAACTTGTTGATGAGAATAACACTGGCGTTTAAAAAGATGAATGTCGTTTAAAGAATGTGCAGTTAACCGTTTACATTACGCAAATTTAAGAATCTATTCTGGGAATCGTTCCGGGACTATCTCCTAGAGATAGACCAGAATAGGAACGGTTCTCAAAGTCCTTGTAGGGTTAATGAACTATATAATTGTATATTTCAGCACTGGCAATGTAAACTGTTTTATACCATGTTTCACTACACTCTATGTACTAATTATATGTGGGTTTTGGTTGAAGGGCTGTATCTACACAACCTGATATTTTTTACTGTTTTCTCCATCAGAAAGTTATATCTTATATTGTATATAATACTTGGTTGGTGTAAGTATATACTTGAGATATTCCATTGAATTCTTTATTAGGTCAGAAATGAGATCTCATTAGAGACTACGTCATCAACTGTTTTAGCTCCAAGTAGTGACGGATTGGGCTTCCCGGGACTCCCATCCCAACCGATCTTGTTTCTTGCCATTACGATACCTATATTTAGTGCTTCTCTTGTACCCACCCTGGGGTGTTAGCTGCTTCTGGGCTATCTATTCAAGAATTTAATCGTAAGGCATTTCTGTTGATTTTGATTTTATTGCAAAAAAAAAAAACACTACATCATTCGATATCTGAGATAATAAAACTTGTTTTATAAAATTCTGATAGGTTCATCAATATTGATAGTTCTTCCCTGGGTATTTGTTAGAGCTACCAAAGAAGACACATTGTAAGTATGAAGAACACATGCGTTCATTAAAGATCACTCGATAGTTATTACAGTAATTACCAACTTAAATTCAAGATCAGGGATCGTTGCTCAAACAGATTATTATTTGACCATAAGGGATTACCGAGTGTGCTACAAACGGTTCCCTGAGCTGCAGTGGCTCAGTGAATTAGGCGTTGGCTCGCTTTTATTCTGGCTTAGGTCGAGATAATAGGATGACGGTATATTTTACAGCCTGGTTTCCCCATGTCAGTGATGCAGGTCAAGAGAAATGACTTGGAAAAAACGTCTCAAGTCGTTCAGATGGGACAATCAACCGAGGCTTTATGTGCTATAAGCAATGTATGTTAAAAAGATCCTTTGACAGTTGTAAGTCAAAAAAGAGTTGCAGATGTCTTGGCAAAATTTCCCTCATCATTTGCGATGCCCGTCCCCATCAACCCAAACTGGTGTAGAAATGATGGACGCAAAACTCCATTTCATTTTATTTATGAGCATATTGACCATTATCTATTTAGTTACAAAAAGTTAGATGTAACGGAATTCACACTGTCTTATTCTACTTTTTCAGATGTTGGAATACTCACTATACATTTTACTACTGGATAATCAGAGGTCCCATTATAGCTTCAATCTGTGTAAGTTATTTTATTGTATTACAATTGCATGGAATGTCAGTCTCTATGTACATTAATATTCCTAAATATATTTGCTCGACTATATTACCTAACGAACATTTGTAGCAACCTGATTGACCTACCAAGTTGACGTGATTTCATGTCAATCTGGAAAGAGTACCTGTTAACATGACCATCATTAAATGGAATGATATATTGACGAGCGCTTATGTTGGCTGTTACTTGCTTGGCAAGATAACGGACATTGTAATATTGCTATCACGATATCTGTCACGAGCTGTTCATGTCAAGGGTCAACCCAACTCTTCAGCTCTCTGAGACTAGACAGAAATGGATTCGTAACATCTGGTTTGTAGTCAGAGTTTACCCTCTTGTACTTTCGTTGGTTTAACCCTTTCCCCTATGTGTCAATAACAGGGGGTGGTTCTGTCTGATTTCTAGGTGTTTTTTTTTCTTTTCCAGATCAATTTCTTTTTCTTTATAAATATAATCCGAGTATTATTTACTAAGTTAATGGGATCGATTACTCGAGAACCAACCAGATACAGGTAAGAGCTTAAAGGAATTGTGAAGGTGAACGTTTTATGTGTATTAGGCACAATGATACGGATAGCATCAATTTGCATTATCCCAATGTTTGTTCAGTCAGAAGCTAGAGTGGAACTTTTTATTCCACTAAAACTAACTTCATGCCTTTATAATATACATTAAAGGGGTTTCAAAGAGGTTTTTCTCAACTGTTAAGTTTTTCAGTTTTGAGAAAAACGTCTGTGTTTTCTGATTATATGCTTAGCCGTATACATCGTATCACGAAAACGAATTTTGACATGGTTTTATTAACCCGTATTAAACTAAGCCAACTACACTTTGTTTTGGGGAATTGAGATTGGTGGCATTTAAATCTGACCAATCAGATCGGTAAAATGTGTTATGACACTTTACTATGAGTATAAGTTTGGCGAATGGGGGTGTGGTTTGGACACGATCAGCCGTATAGAACTATGTTAAATCAAATTTAACAGCTTTGCTATAATGACGTCATAAACGCATGGTTTTAGTGAAATTACCAGACTCACAGGCGTCTCACTGAAATTCTAATGGTGCAATTTGAAGCCCTCGCTGTCCCCAAGACACACAAAAAAACCTATTTACAATCCCTTTAAAATACAGAAATACTTGTTGGATAGAGCTTAAACACTGCGTGCTTCTTATACTTATAGTTCTTTTTCCGCCATTTTGAGTTCTCGTTCCACATCCGTGATTCCTGTAATTAGTAGATTGGTTATGTCAATAACCTTGTTTCGATTCGATTTTTGTGTAATTAAAGAAACCGAACTTCAGATTGGAAACCGGAATGGTGCCATTGGTGCAATTAAGCAATAACCCACAATCAACTCATTTCAAAATCTAATATCATATTTGTAGAAACATTATTTGGTGTTCGGTATATCATAGTGTTCGTACTACTGACAGCTGAAATGATGTCAAAAACATCTGAACATCCCAATCATTTTAGCTACAACTTCCACCAGTTTCATTCATATCAATACATTATATTATCTTTGTAGAAAGCTTGCCAAATCTACATTAGTGTTAATACCATTGTTTGGTGTTCAGTACATAGTGTTCGTACCACTGACTGCGGAAATGGAACACATGGAACCTGAAATGGAACTGACCATAATATACATAGAAATGTTCCTGAACTCATTTCAAGTAAGCTACCTTGATTGATATGATTATGATGTTCTTAAAGATGGGTTACCTTAGTTTCATTTATGATAGAGAAAATGCTGATAGAAAGTAGAGGTGTTCTAATGACTTGGAAAATACCAGTTTGTCTCACATGTCCGCTAAATTAGAAGAGAATTACCAGCAAAATTCCAATGAGTGACCAATCAAGAAAGGTTATTTTGTTTGTCTAGACCGTACATACATGGACATTTATGATTGGTTAAAACTCTTCATTATATGCAATAAGAACATAATGATATGATTAAGAATACATGATAATTCATTAGAAACACCAATTAATCTAATAGTTTGCTTAATTTGACACTAAAATATAAGGAAACCCATCTTTAAAGGATTCGTATCTCTTAGAATGAAAAGCCTTTTCACGTTATTACTGACACCTTGACGTCATTGATAATTTTATGCCGATGACAGTGATGTCTTAGAAGTGATTCACTGGAACTAAGGAGTTTTAATAGAAGTATGATACTCTTTATTCCATAGTATTCTTAATTCATTTGGAATAAGAATGTTTATTATATTATGTTCTTAATTCAACTGGAATAAGAATGTTTATTATATTATGTTATTAAATCATCTCAAGTATTTCTTTTTATTACATTATTCTATTTATATGAAGTTTTATAGCCGATTCAATATAGTCCGTCAAATTCGTTTAAGCTAGTCCAAGACCTCTTTAAATGAATAGGGTGGAGTATAAGGAGAGCATCACCACGCATAGCCTGTACAAGTATAGTGCGATTATAAGAGGGATTTTGTAATGCCATCGGTCGAAGTTTCTCTGCCTCGGGCCCCCTTAAAAAGATAGTACCTCTTAGAATGGACATGAAATTTAAACTCTCAAATTTGATCAACAATTAGTGTATATATTCATCGGTTGGACTTACCAGGTGGCATGACTGAAGAATAGAATCTCTATATAATACATGCTTCTAAGCATGTTTCAAAATTACGACACCGGGTAAATCCACTGATTTACAAATATTCATTCAACGAAGTTTTGAAATTTAATTTTTTTGGTCAGTCTAATAGTTAGTAGTACCTTGAAGCTATGGACTTGGAATTAAGAAGAACTTTGAAATTCAATATCAAGTTTAGCGTGTTTTTGATAATGTCATTGAAAACTGAGACTTGCTAATTTATTTCATTTAACATCATTTTCAGGGAACTATTGTCGGCTTATTGTTCTGTTTTCTAAATGGCGAGGTTTGTTCCGTTTTTAATATTTTATTCTTAGTTCGTCTCTGACACCCTAATCGAATTGAAATTCTTTTCCTTTCTGATAGTTTCGTCTCCATTGTAATCTAACAAGTTTTCTACCACAGTCCTGTTCTAAGGAAGTAATTATTAACCAAACTACGAAGAAATGTGGGGTAATGACTGGTTGATAGAAGCTAATTGGGTCCATCTTTATAGAAGTAATATTTAGCGCAGTTTCCATGGATTAACCGACACCGAATGGGGTCGAATGTGATAATTTTCAGAACCTATTTTGTAACATTGTTGACACTTAATATGTATACAATTTAGTTTTGGTGTTGAGGGGAGGGTGTGGGACTAATATGTCGTAATGATCTTCGTGGAGAATTTAGGTCACTCCTTACCCTCTATACATTAAAATTTACATTGCATTTAAATCGTGCTATAACTTCGATTAAAACCTAGTTATATCACAGTTAAGCTCCCTCCTTTCGTTCATATAATGAAATTCTCTACATCAAGACAAGTATTACAAATTGTGTTGTTCTGAGTCATCCAACAAGTAGCCTGTATATTTATAATTCTAGGTGCGAACTGAAATCAAAAAGTTTTGGTACAATAAAGTTATGGTGAAGAGAGCAAGTAGCTATTCTCGCCCAACATCCAAAAACTTTCATACATCGTCATCTTTCATTGGACGAGATCGTGGGTCAGAGGTTAACCAAAATATGGTAGCCATGGTTGAGATTAACGCTAGGGTCAAAGGTCCCTCGTTTAATGGAGATGTGAAAAATAAAACTGTGGATTTTAATTTAAAAGAAAATGGCAACGTAAGGAACCACGTGACTGAAAATTCATCTTTAGTGCTCGGTGAAAATCAAGGGCAACAACTCCCGCATAGCAACGGTAAGGGTGGTCCACAGAGTGTGAGTCCGGAGGGCATGTCGTTATTATCAGAAGAAAGCATGTACCGCGATTGTTACCGTGATATCTAAATCGTGAAACTTTAAACAGACTGTGACAAACAATCAAAATGACTGATACTTAATTTGTGACTACAAAGGATTTTTTCTATGAAATTTGTTTACTCACGTTCAAACGGTGAAATACTCTTTGGAAATTATCCGTGTCAACTTAAATTTACTATATTCTTAGGCAGTAATCTAGATTACTTTGGTTTGTACAGCAGATTTCTTTTAACCAATCACAAGCTGTTAGTGCAATTGCCGAAAGGGAAAAACTTTTTGTTCGTCAAGTCCTCTTGATTTTAGTTACCAAAACTCCATGCATCCAGATTGTATTGAAAAGGAAATAACTTTTGTGTGTTTTTAGACGAAAGACTACCTGTTACTTACGACAATGTCGTCTACGTCTTGATACCTAGATCTAATAATTTTGGATATTGAGCATTTATACCATCACCAATTTGTGATACCCATGGTGGTCCCTTTCTTTACTATATTGGTGAAGTGATGGAACTCAACCCGGGTAACCTATTCAAACGGTTGTGATCAAGAACTAAACAAACGCATCATGGATATTATTCATTCCTCGTTTTGGAGACGTCTTAAACGAGTCACATTTAAAAAAAAAGGGCGTAATCCTTTTTCTTTTCTTTTTTTTTTTTGCATCGTGAGCGTTTTTCTGGATTCAATAGGACTGAGTCATGAAAAACGCACTTAAGGCTATTTTAAAACCCTTTGTTCGTTGTTTAAATGATATTTCCCTTTGCCAAAGAATGGGATGGTGGAATCTTAATGACACAGTTTTGGAGCAAAGTCCTCTGTAGCTTTGAACATCAATGTTAATTTTTTTTTAACTCGAAATATTTTCGCTTTTTGCGCCATAAACCACAAAAACATTGTGGCATATTAGTACAGATCAATGGCTGCTCATTGCTATCGTGTCACAAACTGCTCGCTGGTTGGATGTAATGATTTCGTAGGCTATGAGGGCGGCTTTGTTCGCTCAAACGTGGTTACTACATGAGATGCAATGCTGTTCATTGCCTTAGTGTTACTATTTGATAGCTGACTGAATGCAAGGATTTTTCATGAGGAATGTTTTGGTCGGTTTTCAAGTGTCGCGGTCCCGTTATAAATTATTATATTTTGTGACAATCAGTGCTGTACTTTATTAAGTGTTTACTAGTATTTTTGCATAAAGTGTGTCTCGAAAAATATAAATTAAACATCGTTTCTTGTGATTTTATTGTGATGGGGAAGAATCGTCGCCCCGGGGAGGAAATGGGAGGCAAAGTGATCTACGACTGAAATTCACCCCGGACATACAGAATTATTTGTCCCAAAAGTCACATTGAACTATCTCGATATTTGGAGTATGATTTTATATCCATTCATGGTTAATTGTAGAATTTCAAGGTGACTGATTAACTTTTGGTAGTAATAGATTTGAAAGAACTCTTTCAGGGAGGAATGATCTCACTGCCCTATATTACTCCTTTTTTTCTTTTTTTTAAACACCCCTATTTATTCCAATTATATCCAGAATAGTAGGACCTTAAACTCTATTCCAATTAATTTTCTCCATTATTATTCTGGTCATTACTATTTGATAATTTCATATCATATAGCCAACAGGAATAAAACATACGGGCAAAAGGATCTTAATATTAGCTAAGCTTATAAAAAATGCAAGATTACCTACGAGCGCAATAAGAGGTCAAAGGTGGTACAATTTAAATAACACCCGATCTGAACAAGTTTCCTCCTCCTCAGAAACCCGTCTCCCCACAGAAACAAACACGTATTTGAGATGTAGCACCGTCCGTCTTATATTTCATATCAAAATAATATTACAACAAATATTACAACAAATGTATATATATATATATATATAGAACCCATTACAAAACTAAACCCACACAAATAACCGATTCATTCAAATTCAATTTTTAATTTCAGTAGTGGAATTGGTCGGTTGTCAGAATTTTTTTCAGGAGTGCAATCCATTTTCCCTCCGAGACTACGGGCCTGACCTGCATCACACCTCCAGGTAGAAAAGTCTTCAAGCCAGTTGAAAGTTGATAGGCTAATCTAAGTGTGTTAAATCAAGCTTATCAATATTGATATCTATATAAACTAAATTACACCGTTGAACGCCGATTATGGCGTCACAATAGTCTATAGATTACCATAGGGGTAACCCTTATCTACTATCACGTGACTAGCCCATTGTTTACGCGTTGCTAACCGAAATGTCAAAAGACCAGATAATGTAGATTTGTTAGTATGTTGTTTGGATTTTTCGGACACGAAGCCTAATTGCAGGTAATTTAATTGTTTTTCTCAGTTATAAGTTTAATGTTTTCATTTAAAAGTGTATATCTAAAGGTTAAGAGCTCTTCAGTCGGAGTTTCATATTAATTTAGGCCCAAAAAACAGTTTATGAGTAATGTTCTTCTAAGCTGACCTATTGTATAAAGGGTAGAGGTGTTATTATTTGAATATGTCTAGGTATTCGAGTATAGTGTATGTATCAAGCCTACAGTGTTTTATATTAACGTGGATTTAGACCCGATTAATAAAAAGCACAGGAAGCCAGTCAAAATAAATTTTAAACGGTAATTTTACTGCATATTTTTTGTATTATTGAATATAACATTCAGTAGTGAAAATCCCATTTTAATTCTGTTTAATCTTACCATTCTTTGAAAAAAAAAAAACAACAAAAACATAGTCTTGTGATATATTTTGAATAGTTTGAATAGTTTCAATAAAGTGACTAGTTTTAAAAACAAAGAAAATGTTTCAATATTAATCTAAATCTTTAATATTAATATACATATAGACATGGAAGGTAGCCTAACTATGAACAGGCAAAGAAATTAAGACACTAATAGGCATATTATAGATAGTGAGATATCATCCTTCTGACAAAAAATTCTAAATTTACTCATTGGACACGGCATTGCATTAGGTCTATCCGTCTTCATTGAACTATTAATGTTCAGATGGGTAGACGTTTTTCCACGAATAATTCTAATCGTACTGTTCGGCAGTTCGTATAAGCTTAAATTACGTTGGAAATTTTAAAATTGATAAAATATAGTAAAAAAAACGAGAATTTGAAGATTCCTATACTATTTATTTAATTCCATGTTTTGATTATGACGTCACAATGATAATTTGATATCTATGCCATGGTTATGTATTATTGCATGTATTGTGACGCATCGTATATTATTCACCATGCTTGGTTACAGACTTGATTTAAGAGTCACTTTTTCTCATTGTAGCTTGAAACTACCGGAAGTGGATTAAAACCTGAACCAAGATGCCAAAGAAAGTCAAAAAGGGGAAAGGAAAAGGAAAGAAAGGAAAGAAAGGAGGAAAGAAATCCAAAAAACAAGAGTCAGTTCTGGCCATAGCTGCGGCTAATTCAAAAGTGTGGGAAGCTAGAGTTGGGATACTTGAAAACTCTCGCAATGACTATCGAGATAATGCTCATCGCCTGGTCCAAGAAAATGACGCCCTCACAACTCAAATGCTTCAAACTGAAAAAGACACGATTGACGTCATCACCTACTTGAAGCAACAGGAAGCCGAAAAAGATTCTTCCTTGGAGAAGGAAAAGCTTCAAAATCGTGAGCTCAAGAAGCAGCATCGACAAGAGAAAGAGGTTTTGGTAGATGACTTTACAAAACAGATCAGTGAGTTGGAGGACAAGCTTGGCGAGAAGATGAGAGAAATAGATCTGATTCAGGGAGAGTTGAAAATGGTCAAGGAATTCCGACGGAAAAGAGCTCAGATGCAGAAAGATCTGGACGATATCAAAGAAGCCATGCACAATGCTACCAGGAACCATAAAGACAATATTTCCAGAATGGAACGGAAGTTCTTCGAGGAGAAGATGAGACTTCAGCAGGAAGCTAACAAGAAAATAGCTGAACTGGCAGAAAAGGCACATTCGGAAGCCATATCAAATTTAGACGAATCGACCAAAAATGTTTACAAAGAAAACGTGCGATTGTCCGAGGCACTGAACTATCACATGAAGGAAAGCGATTTACTGAAAAAAGAACGAGCCGAACTTCTCAAAGAAAATGAAGATTTAAAAGGCAAGAAAGAAATTAACGATTTAATGGTACAAGAGAAAATCGTACAAAACAAGCAACAGAAGGAACAACTTAAAGAGCAAGAGGAAAAGATCGAAACATTGGAGAAGTCTTTGAGTCACGTGGTACGCGAATTCGAATCGGAAAAGAAACGTCTCGAGGCTGATTTGGAAACACAAACTGCTGCCGCCAAAATAGAACTCACCAAACTTCAAAGGGTCGTAGAAATGAAATCACGCGAGATGTCGAAAGTTAAGAAGCTTGCCAAATCGATATTAGACCAACGAACAGAATTGGAACGATTCTTTTTGGATGCTTTGGAAGAGGTCAAAGTAGAAATATCCGCCAATCAAGCCCAATATAGACGTGATGCCCAATCTGCGTACCAGTTAAAGATGTTTAATGCCGTTTCCGGTAAGGCCGATTATCCAAAAGTAAGAACATTCAACAAATGTGACGCTAGTACCAATAGTGTATTTAAGGATTTGGAAGCCGCACAACTTCTCCACAATATGAGCAGTAAAATAGACATTACAGATCTGACCTGGGAACAGAGAGAAAGAGTCTTGCGGTATCTGTTCGCTAAGATGAATGGTGATAGCACCATGAAAATTGCCAAAATCTCATCTGAAGGTCATCAATTGAGTATTACTCAAGGGAATGGAAACGTCAGTGCTCCAGATGATACTACCTTCCTAACACAAGTTAACGTGGAGTTTCCACAAGAACTGAACAAACATCCTGTTATTCCGGAAATCGGGAAATCTCAAGCCACCAAACTTCTGGAAACACAATCTTAAACACCAACAATCTATACTGAAAGACAAAATGAAGTCATTTAAGAATGGAAATTTATTGGTTATCGTTATGAACGAACTTTGTGAAGACAAATTGCCCGGCGAAGTGAGTCCGTGGACGTATCATATCTTTATTTTCAAATGCTTATATTTGTAAATGTTAGTGAAGACATCTGAGACAGTCAGTGTTAAATGAATTTAATGCAACAAAAATGTTTATTATCAGTACCGATAAATGATAGTATAATAGTGTGTCTCATATTTGGTATAGACGTATGTTGTAGGAACTTCCATGCCTCCCCAGTGCTTTCAATTTCAGTGGTAGGCTACATTATTGAGATGTGATTTTCGAAACAATATGAAAACCATAAGCTATATAAGGGTTTGCTTCATTGCATCAAGGGCCTTATTCTCGAAAAAAGATGATTTAGTGTTCCAGTCATCTGATTGGTTAATCACTAAGATCAATTTATAAATGTTTTATAATCCAATCAGATTGATGTATTTCTTACAAATCTTATTTTAGTTTTCCAGAATAAGACCCGAGTCGACATACGATATTATTTTGTTTACTTATTTGTTTGTTTGTTTTTGATTGTTATTGAATTGTCGATAGTGTATGTTTATAATACACAAAGTACATTGAATAGAAAAATGAAGTGAATAGGCCAGGACGTCTATGGTATATACAGTGGCGAACTTTTGCAGTTAATTGGCATTGGATGCTTTCCATTTGCAAGTCTTATTTTCAAAGGGGTACAACTCCAATCTATAAAATTGGTCAATGCATCGGTGACCGGTGAGCTAGATTTGTAAAATTGAATAGTCCTAGATTTATTTAAATAAATATGAGAGAAGGGAAGAAAAAGGAAACTCTGAATTATAAAATCCCCCCTGATAAAATGAATGATGTCACTGTCGCAGAAACAGTAATTAAAGATTAAATAAGGGCTGCAACTCGTGACTGTAAGAATCGGTTAATTCAGTAAACTAGAATTTCTAATTGTTAAGGTCTTAAAACCTAAGCTTACTACCGACACATTCTGGCGTCTCCGCAGTACTTACACGGGGAGGAACAATTTTATGATTACATAGGCAAAGGAAAGGCAAAATACATCGCTCTAATACAACATGCTCTTGCAAGTTAACTAAAAGTGCCCTCTCGTTTTTCAGGCAAAGTGAATTTGTTATATGTCAGACCTTGACCTGTAACATTCTGATAATTGTAACTATAACAATCCCTGAAATTCGCATGAAAGGAATTTTATAACAATGGATTTCAAGTCCCACTAGAACGATAGAATGACGCCACTTAAAGGGATTGTAAAGAGGTTTTCTTAAAATGTTTTGTGTATCGGCAACATTCCAATTTTCAATCAGATGTCCGTGCTTCCTGCAATTCCAATGAAACTACGTTTTTGATGTCATTATCGTTAACCTCTTTACAATCCTTTTAACGTATCTGAAAGTTCTGACTAAAAAAATCTAACCTTTAATTTTTAACTATTTATAAAGTTGACGTAAATCTTTCAAGTCCGTTACGCATTTTGGAAGCTGTTAGAAAACTACTGTACAGATTTTTGTAAAATAAACTACTTAGTAGTAGAGAAATATGTCTCCTACGTATTAAAAATGTTTCAACTAATAATGTCGAGCCATAAAGAAGCCAAACACCAAAGCTCGGTCAAACTGCTTAATTAACAATACACCCTCCGTAATGAATCATTTAAAAACAAATTTAGTTTGATCAAGTAGATACATAATACTTATTTTCGGGTATAATGTAAGACGTTTTTGATAAAGATATTTACAAAAGAGCGGAATGTCCCTTTAAATAAAGATAGATAAACATCCAGCTTATTAGAGGGTATAACAAATATAAGGACGACTGTACAGATAGATGACATTCTGCTGAAATACAAGGAAAATCTTGAATCATCTTGTAACATGTTCTACATTTTGAACTGTACTAGATTTTGACCTTTGAAAAAAAACATATTCCTAAGTATTATAAATAATAAAGAAATACCGTGCCATATTTGATACTACTTTCTAAGTTGGTTTCAATGAATTATAATACATAGTTCTATATTTAACTTCAATAATTATTCGAAATTTCGTCTCTAATTTAGTTTGATCAAGTAGATACATAATAATTATTTTCAGGTATAAGACGTTTTTGATAAAGATATTTTACAAAAGAGCGGAATGTCCCTTTATATAAAGATAGATAAAAATCCAGCTTATTAGAGGGTATAGCAAATATAAGGACGACTGTACAGATAGATGACATTCTGCTGAAACACGGAAAATCTTGAATCATCTTGTAACATGTTCTACATTTTGAACTGTACTAGATTTTGACCTTTGAAAAAAAACATATTCCTAAGCATTATAAATAATAAAGAAATACCGTGCCATATTTGATACTACTTTCTAAGTTGGTTTCAATGAATTATAATACATAGTTCTATATTTAACTTCAATAATTATTCGAAATTTCGTCACTATTCGAAAAGAGCAATATAAGATATTTATAGATTAACGTTAGTCTTGTATTTCATTATTCGTATTATTCGGGGAAGTGTTTAGTATAAGGTCATCATGTATTAGGTAAGCTAAATATCTTTATCATCTGTGACACAAAATATATCAATTATGATTTCAAAATTTCTCGAGGTTTTCCAGCGCAATTTAAGTTAAAAATTTGGCTAAGAGAACTTGGTTAATTTTTTTTTTCAATTTTCTATAGTTCTAAAAGAAAGGCATTCGGCCTGCATTACGCGGCGGCCTTATATGTGTCTTGTATTTTATACATCCGCTTTCTCCTGTCCGCCTGTTTATATTTAGCTGGTGCTCACTCTACTGTATGCAATTTTATTTCTCAACGATTGTTTATATAGGTTTATATTTTTCGTTATAATATCCCTGAAGGGACGTCATTACTGGGCTGCTACGGCAACATAAAAATTAACTCAGAGCATGTTAAGGTCGTCTTAAGCGTGGTATAATCCCGAAAGTAGTGTGTGTGAGATGCTGTACGATTGGTGCTATTGTCGCCAATATTCGCCGTTGAGATCGCCATGGATTCGAGCATGTATTTAGACACGCGTCTGAACATAAACGCAAAGAAAGGAAGTGCACCAATATTTTATTAACAATCCGTCATGGGAACGCAACGTGGTCGCATTTGTTACAGGTTGATTGCGACTGTTGTAGAATTTGTCATTTTTATTGCGTTTTCTCACTTTGCCAGTGACCCAATACAATTTTAGTAACCATAAGATCTCAGTTCGGTGTCCGGTGTGACAAGGCTATAAGTCATGGATGACACATAATTACTAGAAGTTATTTTTCTTTATTTAAAGAACAATTATTTTCATGCCAAATTTTTAGCTGAAATATCCGGAAGTAACGTTTCTTTTCAATCTTCGTTAAAGTTAATGTAATGACAAAAGTTGTCTTTGAAATGCCCATTTACTAAACCTGCGTTGAAAAGCTTTATCCCCTATCTTAGGTCCATTGTTCTTGCTAATCGCTAATCCAAAAATTAAAAATACCCATTAAGGTGATCAAAATGGCCTCTCGTAACCAGTGCGTTACGGGGCATTACGTAATCTAGGGGGTCACAAATTCATAATGATTACAGCCCTTCTATCGAGGGCTCTTACTTTCTACTGTATCGATAACGCACCGCACTTCGTCGGTCCCCTGCCCAATTCTGTATGGAAGGACCCAATTGTGTCCACATCGTGTATTCAATTCTTCTATTTTTTTGTAACAATTGTCCTGAATCGTACACCACACCGTACTCCACACAACTGTAATGTGTCTCTTCGTAGTCCAGCATAAAATCTAGGGACAATTTAGAATTATTTGTTCTCTGATTCTTTCCGGTAGGGAATTCGTCCTTTTTACCGCAATTGTTTTGCTCCATGGATTTTATCAAGTCGAAAAAAACAAATTCTTAGAACAATACCATGAGCGTAAGACACAACGCTGTGGCGTCATAATATAATAACGTTTTTTTATTATGACGTCAAGTGAGTTGTTTGTCAAATGAATTATTTTCCGCACAGGGATCCTGAAAGTAAGTATTTCTACATTTCCAACATGAAAAAGATTTCAAGGAAAACACGAAATAGCAAAGATTTAAAGGGAAAGGCGGGGGGGGGGGGGGATTAGGGGGGTATGCAATCAAGGATCCTGAAAGTTGTAATAGATAGAAAAGGGTTTGAAACCCTATGTTAGCGCTTTGAGTTGGAGTCATAATATCTTCGATAGATGAACGCCAACCACCACTTTATTTGTATTGCACGCGCACTTCACTTCAATAAACTGGCTTGAATAACAAGGTCGTGGATCATGTCTGTCCTCAGTCCTGTGCCTCTACTCTTGATACCTATTATGTTACTTCGTCATATTAAATTGTTCCAAATGAAGTGTTGTACAGGTTATGAAATCAGTTAAGCTGATCTGATTGCACAACCGCATTAATCGTCTCGAATGACTTTTCACGGGCGACATGTAGCGAAAGTCAGTTAAGCTTCCCCTGGGTAATGTCAAGGTGAACATTTTGGATAAAAGGTAGACTGAATTTTAGGTAAGAAATGTACACAATGACCAAAAACGTTATCACTTAACATACTGATGACTTACTTTTTGAAAGTTATTGATTTAAAATATTTTATTTTAATAAGAATTTTGTTCATTTCATTCATGCCTTTTTATATGCCCACATGAATTGAGCGGCATATTGTCGTCACCTATGTCCGTCCGTCCACAATTGCTTGTAAACACTAGTAATCACCCAAGGATGAACCCTACAGAAATTCAGAAAATAAAATAAAAATAATTAGTTTTAGTTATTGCCCTTGTTCTTAAAACGCTTTCTAGTTTTAGCCTGTAAACACTCTAGAAGGCACAACTCTTGACCGATTTGGACGAAACTTCGTAATATTATAAGTATCGCCCCAAAATGTTCAAAATAAGTGTACTGGTAATTGTTACTGTACTGTCAAATATTTTTGTTTAAAATCAAAGCTGCCAGTTAGCGTATATTATTACCTTGCCTGGCATGTTATCTTTACAAATCTTGGTAACATTATTCAGTATCGCTCCAAAAGAAGTGTATGACTGAAGCTCGAATATTTCACATACTGGTGATTGTTACTATACTACCAAAATCAAAGCTGCCTGTGGGCGTATAATAACTTGCCTGACAAGCTCTCTTTTTTATTTCTATCATCTCGCAAAAAAGCTACATTCATTTTGTATGATTAGTATAGTCTATTTAGATATGTAGTATGTATTTATATAAAGGTTTTTGCACACAATAATTAAAGTATATATCTTTTACATAGCTATTTATGAAAATTATATGTATATGTATCATCATTCCTGACTGCTCTTGCCTGCCTTCCATAGATGTATAAATTTGTCTTTCAATGTGTATAGATGTGTCCTCCCAAAGTGTAGAGGTGTCTTTCAATGTGTAGAGGTGTCTTTCAATGTGTATAGATGTGCCTTTCCAAGTGTATAGATGTGTCTTTCCGTGTCTCTTTGTAACAGTATAAACACTGTTGAAAAAAGTATGTATTTCAAACTACAATAATGATCTTTTTTTTCAAAAAAAAAAAAAAAAAAAACTATCACTTCTCCACAATCACTTAATCACTTACTTGAGTTTTACACCAATTCTCTGTGTAGTGTGCGATTTTGCTTCACTGAAATTTGTTAATTTGAAAATAGTGGTGTTATTTGAATGTTGAAATATGCCCAAAATCTTCCTGCAAAAAACTTCCTGTGTAGTAAGTCTAACCAGTACTCGATTGTAGATTATACGGTCATAGCCCATTTGTCATACTCCCATTTGTCATACTTCCATTTGTCATTCTCCCATTTATTTTACGGTAAAGTTGTAATGGACTGAAACAACAATGACTGAATACCGTTTGATATAGAATCAACCCTCTTACTGCAGAATATTTCAGCCGTCCATATCACTTATCTGAATGAAACACAGTTCTGTTTATTTTACAATTCAAAACAGACATACAAAAACGAACGTATCAAATTTGCTATTGTTGACAGTCAGTTTGTCATTAAATGAATTTTCTTAAATCTCTGGGTCTTTTTGTAGATTAATATTTTTTTTCAAAGTAGGATTTTTTCCCAAAATGTCCTTATTTATACCACAATCTATTTACTACCACGATCTAAAGCTGACAATTGACCTTTCGGGGCTGGACTCCATGCAAGGAAGCACCCAAACCTGTACTTTCTTGTCGAACTATATAAGTACTTCTAATAATAGTGCTTATGATTTTTAATTATCAGATTATACTGTAATTCGAATTCAGACTCTTCATTGATAGTATTTTTTTTAATATGAAATTTCGTTCAAAATAATGAATAAATCAATTATTCAAACAACCCACTTACATTTGATAAAATAGATTATTACATTTTAATTAAAGGAACTGTAGAGCCTGTATGATATAAACTATAAAATATTTTAATCTGTATAACACAACAAGAATACGACAAATGGGAGTATGGCAATTTGGAATGTGACAAATGGACATTACATTAAACTGTATAGATCTGAACATTTAAATTCTCAAAGTGATACGATTAACTTGAAATTGAGCTCTATCAGCTTGTTAGATCGAATATTTAGAACACCATGTGGATAATTGAAATTGAGCTCTATCAGCTGATTAAGCAAATATTTAGATGACTATACAGAAAGCGGAAATAGAGCTTTAGATATATAGATGAAATATGAAATACCCCCTTTAAATTTGAATTTTGTCAAAATTACACTTTCCCCGGCGAAGCATGACTAGCAAACGTTGAACTATATTTTGAAAAAAAATTCAGTAAACCTTGTCATTGTCTACATAACTCTAGAGTCACAGTTTTTGACATTGTCACGCCCCATTTATTTTCTTAAGTTGACAACGCCAAACATTTACAGTATTGTTGGTCTAAAGAATTGAATATTGACCAAGTATAGATTTGGATGACTAGATTCTAGGGATTTACTTAAAATCTAGTATGATGTTACCATAGTTAAAACCATTTTACAAGGATAACAACTAAAGTTTACGAGGATTATGTAAAACCAGCTGCTCTTTGTAGGTATTTATTTCTCTCGAATTGGTTAGCCATAGCTGGGTCTACTGGAATGATGAGGGAAGATGACTTAAATGAAATTTTCGCCCGCCGACCGACATGTATGTCATCAACATTTTTCTAAATAATCGGATTTTAAGATTTTCACTATGATTCGTTTTATATTTTCAGAATAACATCTACCATCTTAGAATAATAATTCACCTTCAGCATCCGATCAGTGTCTTAGAGATTAATCGGATGAGAGGATAATCGGGTATAGGCCTTCATTGCTTCTCGGTACACTTTGATTGGATATAGGCCCAAGATTACTTTCAAGGAATACTACCTCTTAGGATAAACCTAAAATTTGCTACTTGCCTGGTATAATAACGATAAAACAGAATCCCTGCATAATCCTTATTGAAAACTTATTGAAAAACATTTGAAATTTTAAGTATTCCTTTAATTTGTTGTCGGATACACTTTTGTAAAAGCCGTATCATTCCAAAAATGCCAAGAAATACTAATCCAGATACTGTTCTAGGAACATCTTATAAACAAGCCAATGGAAATTCATATCTTGATTTAATTGGAAACGGACATGACACCATGCCCACAAATGATCAAGCCACTTCAGAAACTTCCAAAGCAAATGGAAAGAATTCTCTTACTGATGCCGTGTTTAAGGTTCCTGAAACTGAGAAAATAGACTTAGAAACAAAAGAACCAAAGAAAAAAGTTGGATATTTAAAACTAGTAAGTATTATGCTTTTAAACACCCAAAACTGTTTTTATCCTCCCGTACTCATTTGTTATTCAAAAGTTGTATCCGTGTGTTCATACACATATTCTTACACGTGTAAACATGTTCCTTGACCGCTTTCAAAACATGTGACATCATGGATGATATTCACTACCTCGGGCCTTAATACGTAATTTACCTATATGTATTGAAACACAGTAGAAATGTGCAATACTACCAACAGTGCATCATGGTAGAAATTGGCAAGCATTATCATGGTGGTGGGTTTGTAGAAACTCCTTAATCGGTAAGTCATTGGATGAATGTCTAATTTAAAATTTATTTTCGTTTATTTTTAGTACCGGTACTGTACATGTTTTGATGTTATATTAATTGTCCTGGGAACACTTGGTGCCATAGCAACCGGATGTGCAATCCCTCTTAATGTCTCCATATATGGGGACGTAATAGAAATTTTTGTCGGTTTTGCGATAGATTCGTAAGTTGAAACAGATTATTTTTGAGATTTCCTTTGTCCGTCATTCATTTCAAAATCTGAATTGAAATGAAGTTTACATCCTACGTTTCTACACCTTATTCGGCAAATGAAGACTTCTGTGAGGAACATTAACCTACACTTCCAACTGTCGAGGAAGTGTGATCCCCAGATATGAAATGAAAACAAACAGAAGACTGATAGTGTACATGATAAGCCGCCAATCTGACGTTATTACTTCCATTACATATTACAGTATTTTGATCTACATTAGTTATATAAGTGTATAGGGACTCTGATATCATGGATTTGTACGGTGGCTAACATACGACATATTTAAAATTTTATTTTAGATTAAAATCTTAAATATTTACTTGGTGAAAATTAATTATCACCAAGGTGAAATTAATTTTGAATTAAAAACTTGAATTTTCAGTTTTCACCTAGGTGATAATTATTTTCACCTGGATGAAAATTAGGTGATAATTCTTGTAATTTTGAATTAAAAACTTTAATTTTCACCTAGGTGATAATTACTTTACTTGGATGAAAATTAGATGATAATTTCTGTTTATCACCTTGGTGAAAATTATTTAAAGTTAAATTAAAAATTACAGGAATTATGACCAATCACCTTCCACTAAAATAGTCGTTTTATGATGTTACTATCGCAAAGAAATTAGAATGACGTCAAGAACCACACACTCCTGATAAAAATATTGATATCGATGTTATCCATGCGTCTAATATAAACAAAACGGTTCAAAAACATCTTTGCAATCCCTTTAACTTTCAGTGTCTTGTTTCAAAATGTATATCTGGGACACTGATAGCATGGTAATATGGTCTCCGATACACATTCAAAGAGAAAGCCTCTATACAATCCATTAATTTAAAGAGGTTTTCTAGACTTTTTATGTGTATCGGGGACTTTTATTTTGGTTATTTTGGTTGTGGGAGCTGCGTCATTTTCGGTTAACTCTTTCTGGAATTGTAGGAACGACAGGAATCGGACGAAGAATTAATAAATAAAAGTCATAGGTGTCCCCGATACACTTAACAATCTCTTTAAATCTACTTAAGTGAGCCAATCAAATGACTTTAATTCTTATAATTCGATCGATCGATTTTGTCTAATGTGGGGCGGCTTTGAGAAACAAGCCTGAAGAATATGAAGAGTAAACTTCAAAACACTTTTTTTTTAATTTTAGAACAAATTCAACACAAAACATGACAAGACCTTCTGAGTCGGATTTAGCTGCCCAAGTTCAGACTAAGGTTGTATATTTCTGTATAATAGCAGGAGCGACATTTGTTGCAGCTTACATCGCAATATGCTGCTGGACCTTAGTGGCTGAACGTCAACTTAACATCATCAGAAAGAAATATTTCCGAGCGGTAATGCGCCAGGAAATTGGTTGGTTCGATACTCACGAAACTGGCGAATTGAATTCTAGATTATCGTCGTAAGTATGTTTTACTGGATATGAATTTCCATGCCAAATCATTATTTGTACCAAAGTCGTCTAAATCTGCATTACTAGCTGACACGTGTCAAGCTACATGTATCCTTATTGAGAAGTAATAATGTAGTTTCTCTTCACTTTAAGTGTACAAAGGAAATTTCTTCTTCTTTGTTTTGTTACTATCAAAAATATCAGTATCGAAGAAATTTGATAACGTGTTTGTTAGATTTTAACTATTAAAAGTGATAAAAAGTCTTTGGACACAATGTCAAGCTACTACAAACTGCATTTAAAACCGGGATTAAAATTTAGCCACTGTTCACGGAAGTGTGTACATTTGGTATGACTTGTGTGCCATTTGATTGTACTGTACTATAATGACTTCAGCCAATCACCGACAGAATGTCTATGAGCCATAATCTCTACAATTTTTCTGTCGAAGGCTTTGATTGGCTGTATTCACTAGCGTACAATCGAATCAAATCGCTGCATTCCGCAATACAGTGGCTAGTGTGGTCAAGGTATAAGACAAGGTTCGTAATACCTTGACCATTGTGAAGATGCCAGCCTATGGAAACCTTTAGATTGTATATTCAGGATTTTTCATTTGCAGTGATCTTCATCTAATAACAGAATGTGTTGGAGACAAGATGGCGATTTTGATTCAGTACGCTACCAATTCAATAGGTGGTTATATCATGGCACTTGTTACTTATTGGAAGCTGGCATTAGTAACGATGGCATTCAGCCCGGTAGTATTTATTATCACCAGCTTTGTTGGAAAGGTATGATTTGAAGGAGCAGTCTAATTTTTCAAGATAGGGAAAGTAGGGAATGTCGGGGGCTCAGTTTAATGGAATCTGTAAATCAAAATCTAGAGAAACCTCAACTTATCTAATAGTTTTAACTTAAATTGCCATTATTTTTTTAGACTCAAAAACTGTTTAGAAGGTTTGAGAAAGCCAGAATTCGGTAAAAAAAAATGCAACCTTAAACAATAATCAATGCAAATATCCGAGAAAACATTTTTTGATAAATATTCCGAAAAACACGAAAATAGAACCTATGCAACGTAATCGCGATGATTAACTATTTTTGGTTATGGTACATGCAAAGCCAAACTTATTCAGGATGAGTTTATTTTTGCTTTTGGTCAACTGGAAAGGATAAGATGGACTAGGGTGACAAAACAATTTGGGTCATATTTAAATTCCTGTTATCATTTGTAGTAAACCAACCTATGAAGAAAGCAGACGCTTTTATATTTGTGAAAAATTATTATGTTTTATTTTCTTTATAGAGGCTACGAAAAATGGCTGCAAAAGAATCAAAGCATTATTCTCAAGCTGGAGCTGTAGCAGAGGAATCATTAAGAAATATTCGGACGGTTCAAGCATTTCAAGGCCAGGAAAAAGAAGCACAGAGGTATGCCCATATTGAAGCAAACAATTTATCGATATTCAGACGTTTTCTTTCTGCAATATTGTTATCGGTTTCCCCCTGTCAGTGATTCAAGTTGTAGACGTTCTGTTGGGACAATAAACCCACTATGTGCCGTTGATGTAAGCCCGCCACAAAGGGGGGTTATCCTCCGTACAAATTTTGAAAATTGGAATTGATTTTGTGCAGTATGAATATCATATTTTGAAAAAGACACTAAGTGAAAGTACAATTTTAGAGTACTTGGACAACTTCATTTCATTCCATTTTATTCCCTTTCCTACACTTCTTATATTGCAAATCTTGTAGGTATGAAACAAAGTTGAAAGAAGTTGATAAAGTCAATTCAAAGAAAGGATTAACCATGGGTTTAGCCCTATCAGTGTTTTGGTCGATATTATATATAGCTTTTTGCATAACGTTTTGGTATGGAGTGAAATTGTTTCAAGATGAAGGACTGGCAGTTGGTAAGATTGTCCCTGTAAGTGAAACCCCATCTATTTTCATTCCTCATCTATATCATTTTCTCTCATTTCGTGTCCATCGTAATCTTAGTTTTCTCCCACATTCCCGTTCCATTGACGTTATTTTGAACCAATCAAAGTGTGTAATTTATGGAGGTCAAATCAGGGCCCTCAAAAGAAAGATTGTAAATATGGCTCATTGTACCAGAAGTTCTGTTTAGGACTGTATTCTCTAACGCATAATCCAAACAAATCGCTGAATTTACAAATTTAAGCAATACACGAAAATTTAGTCAAGGTATAAGACGCAAATTATCTCATAATTTCTAATAAGTAGATACAATTGACAGATCTTAATCTTTTATCGCACGAAGGGCTTGAGTGGAAATATTCAAATGAGTTATATATATAACATATATTGCAAAACTGTGTCGCTATAACAAGATTGGTAGTTGATGGTTCTCTCATTGAACGAAGGGCTTGATTGGCTGGACTTCCAAATGATACAAAATTCAATATTACCAGTTTTACCTTTTGGCTAATTAATTTAAGTTTTAATTTTCATTTAGTTCGTTAGCAAATGAAATGATTTTGTATTATGCAAAAGGTAGACGTAAGCCTATCTTATAGCTAAATCAATAGGGCAATCCCACTTTTTTTGATTCGCAGAATAAATTTCATTACAAAAGGGCCATTTTGACTGGCAAATTGTGATGTTTAATTTGAACCCTGATGCAGTGGCGTTTCTATGAAAAGCCAGGAGGAGGAGTCCTCCCTCAACCTCCAGACAGAATTGATGCTATTAGCCTCCCTGGACAATTCTTCTAGACCCCTCCACCTGATGCACCATTGATTTTCAATCTACTAACATAATAACTTATATTAATACACCACTGATTAGTGTGGTAATTCGGAATGCACAGAGTGTCGGGGTACTCAGAGTTTTTTAAACTAGCCTAAGAAGGAAATCAATCGGGACCAGAATATGATGTCGGATTACGCAGAATGTCGGATATCAATACTTTCATATAGCGTGTAACAGCTTTCATGATATCATTATTCAACGCATGATATACAATATACTTCGATATACTTTATATACATGGAATATAATATAAAAACATTGGTCAAATAGGTTAGAAATTTACTCCAGGTCCGTTGCTGGCAAATTGATCATACAATGCAAACAATGTCATCAGATTGATGATGGATTCAAATGACCTATATAGAGCATATTTTGCAAAACAGTGTCGTCAGATCATGGATGGTAATTGGTAGTTGAAACGAGGACTGGATTTTCAAATGACGTATGAACATGAGTTGCATAACACTAACAGTGTTGAAAGATCATGGATGTAAAGTGTAGGCCACCGCCACAGAGTGATGAAGATTTCAACTTTTTATGATTTAGGTATTTTTTGGCATTTTGATTGGCTCGGTGTCATTGGGAAACGCCTTTCCATATATAGAGACGATATCACAAGGACGTGGTGCAGCGGATAACATATTTAAAATCATAGATGCTACACCAACTATAGATGGCTCTTCTGACGTAGGAGATAAACCGAAAGTAGAGGGGAATATTGCAATCAAGAATGTAAACTTTACGTATCCAGCTCGCCCTGACGTACAGGTAAGAACAATTTTACTTCATTGTGTCTTATTGTTATGCCGTTGACGTACATGGCCCTCGACCCCACCCGTCCGAACGTCTGTCCATACGCCCGTCCCTTCATAAATCGTTTAGGTAATGGGAGGCTACTGAAATAGACGTGATTCACCCTGGACATAGAGAAAATCAAGAAGAAACATTCAGCCCAATGGTCACATTGAACTATCTCGATATGTGGAGTATGATTTTATAGCATTTCTTGGTTAATCGTTGCATACATTTTCAAGTGAAATATATTTCAAAATGACTGATTTACTTTGGGAAGGAATGGATCTGGAAGAACTCATTTGGGGAGGAATGATCTCACTGAGATCTCACTGTAAACATTAGTTTATAATTATCTTTGTAAAGAATAGTGGTTTCTTTCTTTCCTTCTTATCTTCTCTCAAACAGGTTTTGAAGAACTTCAGTTTAGACGTTGATAAGGGAAAAGTCGTAGCTCTGGTAGGTTCTAGTGGTTCTGGTAAATCAACTGTCATCCAGCTTGTTCAAAGGTTTTATGATCCATCATGTGGACAGGTAGGTATTTCTAGTGCTCCCATCCGAACGACTAGACGCGTATCCATGTCAGTCCCTCCGACCTGGAATATGCGTTCAGGGGAAACTGTTGACACTTTACTTTATCATCGGGTCCAAGCCACCAAGAACAAGTTTTGGATCATTGTCGCCATTATTGTATGAAATATGATCAACAATAATTATCTCATCGCACGGTTAGGTTAAATTGGGAACTGCCTGCAATCGGGGTCTCAAATTTGAGTAAGATAGTCGATTAAACCTTACCAATGGGCTCAAGCACCAAGAAACTCACCCAACATAAATTTGGCATTATTGTTAAGATTAGTTCTGAAGTGTTCCGACACATGCATTCATGCGAAAACCTGTTCATTTATTGGATGTTCATCAATTTTCCGAAAAAAAAAGGTTAAGAAAAAGACGGGAAAGTCTCGTAACCTGGAATTTGCCGCAATATTCCAATCGGCACAGATGTAAATAGGTACTGATAATCTGGGAAAGATCAATGCCGAGAAATTTGGCAATGGACCAGCTGCTATAATAAGGAAAAACCCAAAATATGGGCCAAATCGGAATATTTGGCAAAATTAGCTATTGGACGTTTTCCGTCTATATATGGCCTATAAGAGCAGAATATCGGCTACTTTTCCTGGCTAACTTTTTCTCTATGGGAGATGTCTCTGTTCTGTTTTTTTCTAAATGTGTAGCGTGCCCAGGTGCATATGTGTGCAAAATTTCAGCTTTGTAGCTTGGTAAGTTTTCAAATTAAAAATTTATTTGTGTAAGCACATTTCGTGCAGTGGTCCCTAAAAAAATTCTATTTTTTTCTCTAATTGTTTTTAAAGCGGTTTTAAGTGCTTTTCCGAGTCCCTGGGGTCTAATTAGTAGGAAAAACCCAAAACATGGGCCAAATCGGATTATTTGACAAAGTTGACGTTTTCGTCTATATGGCCTATAAGAGTCGAATATCGGCAACTTTTCCTAGGCTAACTCTTTCCCCATGGGACATTTCTCTGTCCTTTTTTTTTCACTGAATTATATATTGAATACCATTGTTTTCTACAGGTGTTATTGGATGGTAAAGATATTAAAACATTAAATGTGAAGTTCCTCAGGCAACAAATTGGTGTAGTGAGTCAGGAACCTGTATTATTTGCGTCAACTATAGAAGAAAACATCAGATACGGAGATCTTAATGCGTCTAAAGACGAGATTATTCAAGCAGCTAAAGAAGCTAATGCTCACTCTTACATTACGTCTCTTCCAAAGGTAATTAGAATATTAACCTTTCTCCTTGTACGATTTAAAAGTAATATAGCCACCTAATTTGATAAATCGTCATTTTCAGTTATCCGTAATACTTGTCAGATTCAAAATCTGGTTCTACAGTCATTATAGTAGGATATCGTCACGACCACATACTATCGATAACATCATGATATTGATTATTGGTTATATAAATATGTATGTGATACGGTATAATCCGATTGATGAGAGGTACTAGGATTTTAGTATTAAAAGCGACTTGCTGGTAAAGCAATTGTTTAACAAGTAAAAAATATTCAAAAAATTCATTTGATAACTTATAATCCAATTTCAGGGGTATGAAACCGTAGTAGGAGAAAGAGGAGCCCAGTTAAGTGGTGGCCAAAAGCAAAGAATAGCCATAGCAAGAGCATTGGTTCGAAACCCCAAAATTCTCTTATTAGATGAGGCAACCTCTGCATTAGATCATGAAAGTGAAGCTGTTGTCCAAAATGCTTTAGAAAAGGTAAGCATTTAGATTAACTGGTATTCCATGCTCACTAAAAACTCTCCACCAATCAGGATAGAATCTTGAAATTTGTGAAATGTGACTATTTGTTTAGAAGGTGAACGGTTTTTCAACTTATTTGAAACGCGATTAAATCAGTTTGTTAGCTTAAAAGAGATCATATTTGAATTCTTATGACATGGTTTAAATGGTTCAGATCAGATCAGTTATCTTAGTAATATATGTTGTGAGTGTATACGAAATGAAAAATTTGAAGGTTTATTACCCAATTTCCCTATGTAATCGAACGAATTTTTTTTTAAAAAACGATATGAGAAATGGGTTTTGGCAATTGTTTTTTGAAAATTTTATCATTTTTTGTGAACAATTGTTGTGTATTGACAGGCTGAAGCCGGAAGAACAACCATCGTTATAGCACATCGTTTATCAACAGTTAGAAATGCTGATGTTATAGCTGTAGTAAGCGACGGTGAAATAGTTGAACTGGGTAAACATAGCGAGTTGATGGAGAAACAAGGAACGTATTATAACCTGGTTAAAACACAGGTAAGGTCGCGTTTATTTTGCAAACTGATCTAAATGTTTTGTTCTGTGTGTTTTCTTTGTGGATGACTTCATCTGCCATCCAAAATCAAACAAGATTGTTACGCTACAATGAAAACTAGAAATCTACATCTGCAATTAAAATCAAATTGGTCTTAGATAGACAAACACTAATTGGAGAGAAATTCCATCAAATCAAAAATGGCGAATACAGTTACTGTCCAGGCAAATATTACGAAGTATCTGAATCAGCTCCGATTTGTTAGTTTGGGGTTCTTTTTAGTTTTTTTCAAGGATACCAACTCAGGTAAACGAGATCATGTCTACTATCTGGTCACTGGATAAACTTATTGATATTGATATATCCTGTGTTATCCATTCCAATGAATGTACAGCTAATTTATTCACTGAAAATGTAATGATTCATTGTTTAGAGTGAAGCATCTAAGAAAGATAAAGACTCTGACTCTGATAAAGATAAAGATGGTGATTTAGCGCTAAGACCGAGTTTAAAGCGAGTTACCAGTATAACAAGTGAGAAACAACAAGATGTAACGACAAAGGAGGTGGGTATCGGTTTTGTCAAATGTTCAACACACAGAGAAGAACTAGCTCAGCTCAGGGCCCTTCCACCATTTTCAAATTTCAATTAACTGAATGTTTAACTTGTTACCGTAGACCCACTTGAAACAGTTATTTTCATTTGTTTTGACAAAATTATTTGGCTTAAAGTGTGAAATCGAAGTGTAATCTTTAAAGATTTCCTAACCAAACAATCCAAAAGTATTGCTATCATATGGCAAAGCTTTTGATTTATTATGTTTGGAACTTGTGAAGATTGTATTATTTTAGGTTGAAGAAGATATACCTCCTGCAAGCTTTATGAGAATAATTAGGTTAAATTCACCGGAATCAATGTTTATTACTTTGGGTACCATAGCATCTTTTATAGCTGGTTTCAACCATCCTGCTTTTGCTTTTATATTGTCAGAATATATACGGGTATGTATCTCCACTGGTCGCTAGCAAAATGGTACAGACTCATTTTGGTGGAAAATCTTATGCAACATTGATTTGCTAACTTAACTTCCATTTTAAAAGGGTTATAAATATGTTTCTAGCTTTTTGTATGTGTATCAGTGATATTTATATCTTCTTCATGCATCATTCCGATTTTCAGTCAGATATCTGTTGTAATTATAGAAATGCTTAACCATATATGAAGTCACTATTGCAAAAGCTGCTAAAGTTATCTAAGGTCATTTTCGATAGCTACGTCACAAAACGTTTAGTTTGAGTGGAATTGCAGGAACCAAATACGTCTGATTGAAAATTGGAATGGTGCAAATTGATGCTAACATTGTCCCATACTCATGGAATCCCTACAAGCATTTTTCACAAATTACTATAATAATACAAAAATGGCTGATATAAGAGAGTCCAGCTACTTAATAATTATGTTTGTTTGACATATTTCAATGTTTGATAACAATTATATTATTTAAAGGTATTTGCTATCACAGATCGTGAAGAACAGAGTTATCTTAGCATCATCTTGTCTGCAGCATTTGCTGGTATTGCTGCTACCATGTTTATAATTCGAATTGTGCAGGTAGTGTGGTTCTTTAACTATATTTTTTTTAATTTCAAACCATGTATACCCGTCTTTGCCTCAACTCACTAGAATAATACTAATAATATTAGTAGAATTATGTCCACTACACCATCTGACATGGCCCTGCCTAACACGGTTAACTGCATTGACATTGAGCTAATTAAGGGTCCACTGTGGATTATATATATATATTGTATTTGTTTACAGAATGTATGTTTGACAAAGTCTGGGGCGAGATTAACTTCAAGAATAAGAAAACAAGTGTTCAGATCTTATCTTAAACAGGTGAACATATATTAATATAATTTGAAAATTGACTTAACAGTCGGCGTTTTCGGGGATTGATTTTCTTTATTGTGCTTTAATAGTCTTAAGAAGTACTAAAACGCACGAAAATAGCATAATCCCTTCAAATATCCTCAAACTAGAAATTTAACTCCATTCCTATAATATGTGTTTCTATATATGGCATAGTCTCGCTAATATTAGAGTCGAATTTTTAACTTTCAAACGTGAATAATTATGGATATACATGGATTTGAAGGTTCAAATTCGACAGATTATGTTAGCTAACAAATAGTGAAGGTGCTCCTCTAATATATCACATATTTGTTATGAAATGGATTTTATGTAACAATCATTATGCTGCTCAAACTCAAACTTTTTTAAAAGTAACTTTATACTATATTAAAGACATTTTTGGTTGTAATTTCAGGATATGGAATTTTTTGATATGCCAAACAACGGAGTTGGAATTCTTTCCACAAAACTTGCCTCTGATTCTACTCTAGTCCAAGGGGTAAGTCAACAATCTATGGTAAAAAAAAACAACGACTTTTGGAATCTATAGTTTACGTCCGAGGGGGAGGGGGACCGAGATATCTGAGATTGCCCGAATTTCTAACCTAGTTATGACATTTTGCCCGAAAAACTTTCTTTCGGGCCTGCGAGGGGGAGGGGGGTTCATCATTTTAAATAGTGAAAGAATGGCCTTGAATTTTATATTGATTATTCTCAATGATTACTTCATTTGTAGGCCACGGGATCAAAGATTGGACAGGTTGTAGAAAATGCTACGTTATTGTTGGTATCTCTGTGTATGGCTTTTTACTATGGTTGGAAATTAACTTTTGTTATACTGGCATTTATACCAGTAATGATTTTATCAGGGGTCATACAGGGTCGAATGACTAGTGGTTTTAGTAAAGCCGACAGTAGCCACTTAGATAAAGCTGGAAAGGTAATTTTAGATTTATCGATTGGTCCTTGTCTATCTTCATGGTGTTCTGCTGTGAAAAGACATATATAGAGTTATCTCCGTTATGGAAATTTATGGGGAAGGATAATTTTTATCAAGAAACCTACCATTGGAGTCATTGGATTATAATAATCTTCTCTTATCATTAGAACGAACGGAGATCTTTTATGATAGTGTCGTTACCAGTTTAAAGATGACATTCCGGAAAGGGGACATGCTCTCCCCCGCGAAATTTTTAAAACAAATTTTTAATTCCTGTTATTTATGCACTTTGGCAGATCTGTTCAGAGGCGGTTGATAATATAAGAACTGTGACGTCATTAACAAGAGAAGACATTTTCTTACAAAAATACGAAACTTTGGTTCATCAAGTAGAGAAGTAAGCTGGATTCTAATAAAAAAAACATTATGGAACCAAGGGTTATATTCTAAACAAATTTACTTAGAATGACTTGGGGTTTCCAAAAGCGGATATGACGTCACTATCGCAAGATGAATTTGCTGTTATTGTACATAACTAACTCCATATAACGCTTAGTTTTAGTTGAATTGCATGATCCACAAACGTCTGACGGAATATTGAAATGATGCAAATCCCGATACATGTCAAAAAAGTTTAGGAAACTGTCATCAATCCCTTTGACGATTTTTTTTCATTCATTCAAGAAATGGTAAAAAGCATGCCTTTATATACAGTATTTTCTACGCATTGGCACAGAGCATCATATTTTTCGCTTATGCTGCAACGTTTGCTTATGGAAGTATTCTGGTACAAGAAGGAGAAATGCCATTTTTTGCAGTTTTCAGGTTTGAAGTCTTATTAAATTTTCAAAACAGGCTATTGCTGCTTTCAAATCCAAACGCATACAGATGTCCTACCATTTGGTTTATCTTTTAGCCGAATTTCTTGTGAATAAGTCATTTTCCTCATTATCCCAGTCGATACAGTTGTAATATTTTAAATCATTTTTTAATGGAATTATGACCCAATGTAATCAAAAAAATTTCAAGATGTATATAAACCGATCAAAAACACCTTTAAAGAGAGCAGAAAATACATGTCAATCTTAACAAAGTATATCTAACATTTCTTCGCATATAGTATCGAAAACTAGGTTTTGATTGGTTGAATAACTAAGAACAGGAGATGCATAATAATATTGTTAGATCATGAATGGAAACAAATTAAGCAACGACACATTCATATTTGTATTTTATCAGAAGGATTTCGTGCTCTTACCTGACAAAATCTATTGCTATTTCCAGAGTGTTTACGGCAATTGTTTTTGGTGGAATGGTAATTGGAAGACAGTCAGCTTATGCATTAGATTATTCTAAAGCTAAAGTGGCCGCTGCTAGACTATTTCAAGTAATAGACAGAGTTCCTGTTATATATTCCACAAACAGTTCTGGAAAAACATTTGTAAGTTTAGGATTTTAAGATTATCTGCCTATCGTGAATCATTGGCATAGCTTTGTTTCGAATTTGGGGTTTGAGTGGGTTTTTATTGCATGTACAAGGTAATGGAATTTCACGATGACTACGTCATTTTAAAAGGATATAGTCAATTACGTCATGATATCTGTAATATCTGCCCGCGAGGATGTTTTTGAAGGTGAATCAGACGCCTGAATTTTATCTTATAAGTCATACGGAAACCTTTATCAGATGGTAATTGTACTAAATTTTACAGGATAAATATGAAAGTATTTTAGAAATAAGCAATATAACATTTAACTATCCGTCACGTCCAGATGCCCAAATTTTGAAAGTATTTACTACTATTATTAATCCGGGTGATACTGTAGCTCTAGTAGGCCATAGTGGTTGTGGTAAATCAACTGTGATACAACTTATACAGAGATTTTACGACCCACTTCAAGGACAAATAGTAAGTATTCTTCACTTTCAGTTTGTCATTCTGATTCATGGCAGGTTCACTTCTACAGATTATGGTTGCATAATGCGCATTATAGTAACAAATATACAGTATTTAAGTCGACTTGTGAACAACATAAAAAAACGTAAGAACAAGAAAAGACTCCTTACAGAGTGTGATTCTAATGCTTCTGTGTAAATGGATTTCTCAACTGGGTTTATTACCTTACTATCTAACCTTATAAAGATATGTTTTTGTCCAATTATTTCAATGAATACGACACGTTAAAAGACCAGTTGATAGAGAGATTTCTTGAACCTGAGTTGTTATCCTTGAAGAATCTAAGTCTCTCTATCTTTTAGAAAATAAATTCAACAGATATACGAGAAACTAATATACAATGGTTGAGATCTCAGATTGGTATAGTATCTCAAGAACCAATGTTATTTGATTTAAGTATCAAAGATAATATAGCCTATGGTGACAACAGTAGAGAAATACCAATGCAAGAAATTATAATTGCAGCTAGAAACGCTAATATTCACACTTTTATAGAAAGTCTACCGCAGGTAATAAATTGTTTTCTTATTATTATTACTACAAAGATGTGATATTGATATCAATGAACGATTTGATATTAATATCTGTAAAACATATGATATCGATACAAAGATGTTTTTATTGGTATCCTTGAAAGAAATGTCTATAAGACATGACGGTGATATTGATTTATATATGACATATTTTGTGATATTGATATCTATAAAGGATGTGATATTAATATCTATGAAGGATGTGATATTAATATATATGAAAATGTGATATATAATATAATATATATTTATATGTAAAGAAGTGATATTGATAAAGGATGTGATATTGAAACGTATAAAAGTATAAAATATGTGATATTGAAATTTATAAAAGATGTGATATTGATATCTTTAACAGATGTGTAAGAGATATTATAGAGATACGAGAAAATCCATCGAAAAACAGATCTATTATATTTTGATCCTGTTTATAATTGCAGGGGTATGAAACAAATGTTGGAGATAAGGGATCACAATTATCAGGGGGTCAGAAACAGAGAATAGCAATAGCACGAGCCTTGATAAGAAATCCTAAAATATTATTATTAGATGAGGCTACATCAGCTTTAGATACACAAAGTGAAAAGGTAGGCATTTGGTATTATGATCTTCCTTTAATGACATAGTTATCTTATAGACAGAGCCCAATTCTAACCAATCTGATACCAGGACCTCTTGAAATTCAACATAAAACATTCTAGGAAAGTTCAGAATATTAATATTCTTGGACAATGTGTGAAAACAAACATCCAACACCTTCTCAATAAAATTCTTAATTCATTTATTTGATCTATAATCCATCTTTGTCTATTATCATTCCAGGTTGTCCAGGAAGCTTTAGACAAAGCAAGAGAAGGCCGAACTTGTATTGTTATTGCACATCGTCTGTCAACCATCCAGTCAGCCGATAAAATTATATTCGTACGTCATGGCAAGGTGGAAGAGGCTGGAACACATTCACAATTAATGGAACTTAAAGGTGCTTATTATAGACTCCATCAGGCACAAAATAGATCTAAATCTTAGGATTTTCCCTAGCAGAGATTTTGTTACTCGTTTTTTTATATGGTAGAATTATTTGTTATTGATGATCTGACGAAACACTATGCAACGCAACAGTATTCTGTACTGTTCTAGTAAGTCGTCTTAACATGAGGAATTATTGGATATTTATTGATTTTACAAGATAAAAAAAATTGGATATTTATTGCTACGTAATTTTCTTTTTTGAGTAAATCCTTAATAGTTCCTTCCTTGTAAATCCATTATATTTCCTTGTAATTCCATAATGTCTTTCAATAAATCAATTACATTTTCAGTAAATACAGTATGCTTTTCAGTCAGTCCATAATGTTTTTTTATTGATATAAATTGATTATGTTTCTTTGTAAATCCATAATAGTACCATGTAAATCCACAACATTTACTTGAAAATTCATATTTCCGTGTAAATCTATATTTCTTTGTAAATCCATAACAGTTTCCTTGTAAATCCACAATATTTTTCAAGTAAGTCCATACAGCTGAATATTGAATAAAATAAATTGGAATGTAGTAATATTCTCTTGTAAATTAATAAGGTTTTCTGGTAAGTTAATGGTTTGTAACATTTTTCTTCCAGCTGACATGAAGTCACTGTTAATAAAATTCTGAAGGGTATCAACAGTATCCATTTACATTATGAAAATTTAATTCTGAGGATTACAAATTATTTCATCCAAGTAAAATTAATTGGCAAACTTTACTTGCTAATGAATTTTATGTGGATAAAATAATATGAATGATATAGCCAAATCAACAGGCCAGAGTAAAGTCAAATGTTTTTTTTAATTATTTGAATAGAAAATGAAATCTTCTATATATTTATGCTTATACTGTGTGAAAAAAATAAAACATGCAGGAAATTCACTTTATTGGAAAAACTAGGTTTTCTTTCATTTCAAACTAACAATAACCATCCACACAATTATTCATAAAAGATTTCAAAATTTCTTGATGCAAGTCCTTAATTTAAATACCATAATATTTTACTTCAAGAGGTACCAGTGTATCAAATAGAAGAAACTAGGATCTGGTCATATTTTTGAAATAAAAATCTCAGAATACTGAAAACATGATAGCTTTAAAATTTCAAGACTTGCATGAAGTGGTTTTAAATCCTAAATGTAAGTTATTAAAACATGATAATATTTTCATGTCCTCACAACCAATAAAATTATGTTATTTTATAAAGGAGCTTTTATATCATGTATCAGATATTGTTTATAATTGTGAATAATTCTATAAGCGTTTTTTTCTTGTCTAATATCAATAAATATTGCAATTCTGGTAAAGTGACCCCCTTGAGCTCTGTCATCTGGTAAAGGAAATATTCAGAAAGCTATATCCCTTTATATGTCATCATGCAGTTCCTCTTGAAACAAAGAAAGAAAAGAAACAACCATTTACAAGTATAACAAGTATAGATCCACAATTAAGATTCTATTCAGCTTGTCCAAACCCCTCGGTTTTTATCTTTCCCATACTATCTGTACCCATTTACAGCTGGGATAATGAAGAAAGATGACTAAGCTACAAGTCTATCTGTCATTGTTACCATGGAACCATATGCACTCATGTTGCTTTTTCATCACAAAACAGATGAAGAGACAGCATCTGATTGGTTATTAAATTTTGAGGCAATCAATAAATCAGAAGGTGTTAAGAATTATTCATGAGACAGGAGCAATATTTTAAGTTTAAATCAAGTCAATTTTTTCCAGGGACTTTTTGGCACAGTTTGAAATTCAATCAATTATAGTTTTGTTTCAAAAAGTCCATTCTGTATAATCAGCACAATATCCTAATCACAAAGTTCCAACTCTTAAAAAAAATTCTTTTATCACATACACAACTACACAAAGAGACTTCATTATCTTTTGGCGTACATTTGTATATATTCTCGAACTTTAAATTTAAATGAGTCCTACAAAAGAACAAGAAATATTTTAAACAAAGATAAATTTTATATAAGGCCTGACCAAATTGCTTTCTTGTTTTACGGATCCTCCTAAAAAACATAATCAGTTATGCTGAAAAAACAAAACAACCCTCATTCCCGATGAAAAATAAAATCATCATCATCAGAAAAATATATGATGTTTGATTACAAGAATACTGAGAAAGTTATTATTTTTTTTTTTTCACTCCTGCCTTTACAAGAAAATAAATTAGTCTGGCCTAATGAAAATGAGCAAAAGATCATAGCTGGGAGCAGATGACAATCCAACAATGACTGAGTTATTCCAACACCTCTTGGAATTGTACACAGTCTTAAATATATTCATTTGAATACCATTGGTAATAATTATATCTAGAATGGCAATGCTCGTCATTATTAAAAAAAAATGGCTACTCACTTTATTTTGAGAATAATGATCTGCTGCATCTACATTTAAAGGATCATCAAAGTTTGTTAAATCCTGAAAAATCAAAGAAAAATCATTAGATCTGGCATATATGTACCATAAGAAACCTCTAGTGACATCATCATTTTTAAATCTCACAATATCCTTTGTCATGTCAGTCCTTTAGATTAAATAAAACTGAGAGAGCATGTGCTTAACTCCAGTCACTGGCTGGCACATACAAATTGTGTACTATCAATTCCTCTTGTGAAATGTAAAATTCAAATTCAAAAGGATAGTTTTTGCGAGATTCTCCATCAAAGTTCTGAATCTATCTTATAACACCATGTTGACAAGATATCTCTAAAATATATAGCACTTATCTTGAAACAAAATAGAGTAAGAAAACTTACTGAGAATAATGAATTAATTCCCCACACAACATCTTTTAATTTTCTGGTAGGTGCCCAGCCTATAAATATAATATAATATTATTTTGGTGTGCAGCTTTAAATTACTGTGATTAGTTAATTATTCAATTCAACTTGGTGTTAACGTTAATGCATAGTACGGGCAAATGATGTTCAGAATTTTTCTACAATTCTTTGCAACCCCAGATTCAACATCAAAGAGGACCTTTACTCTGACCCTGCTCTTGTAATTGTAAATGGGCATGTTTTGGACAAGTTGTCAAGAGTAAATCACCATGACATCTGCATTCTCTTGTTTTAAATACCTACCTAAACTATCATAGGAACTTTGACGTAATAAACTAAGACAAACTTCGCCAGACTCACTAATGTTAGGATGCCATATTCTATTACAACATCTTACTTGTGGTGGCTACAAAATAATCATTCATTAGGAAATAAATACCAGTACACATTATTTTTCAATATACACAACAACTTTATCTTGAAGTCAGTGCCAAAAACATTGGATCTGCCTGTTAATGCCAATGCATAATAAAGCTTCCTAGATTAGGTGTCAGCTGTCAGTGTCACCAGCTAATTGTCAGAGTTATCAGAAAAAATGTTCCCTTACCATAATATTATATTCTTCTGGTACAAATATATCAAATTTGAATTTCCCACCTTGCCAGTAACTTTCATCTGGTGTGACAATTAAAAAGAATTTATGTAATTTATCATGATCTTCAAATACAACTTGACAAGTTTTAGGTAAATTTTCTTCCATTTCTGTTACTTCTGAAAAACAATTATTTTCAAAACATTGAAAAAAATGCATCAATGTAATAGAATTGTAGGAGAACATCAAGTCTGGTACTCATTCTGGAGAGTGATATGAATAGTTAAAATTATTCCAATATCTTCATATAAGATGGTGAAATTGAACCAATCAGCACCAATTTTCAACTCATATGATAATCATGACTTTTGTGTGTTTATATTTACAAATCCAACCGTATGTAAAAAAAGAAAGAGTTGATTGGTCCTTTGAAAAAAGACAACATGAATACAGAGTATTCTCGGTCCCTAATACAAGGTTTAGATTATTTGCTGAAGGTGACACAGTAAAAATAAGTTATAGTTTTGGATGTGTTAAGAGACACTATTCTCACCTTACAATTTCTTCAGATTGATATCATTTATCTCAGTCCTTAATTATATGATTATATTATATTATATTTTATTCATAATTATTCTAAAGTGAAACAAAGTAGAAACTTGACATCATCAATGTTCTTACCTTTGACTAATAATTTGTCTCTGATTGATATTCTTTTAGGTGCATCATCTGTTTCTTTCTTTCCACTCTGTTTTAACTTTTTAGATAAAGTTATCATTTTTTCTCCTGTAAGCAGAAGAAATAAACAAAATAGCCAATCTGGCTTTAATAAACATAAACCTGGAAAACTAGACTCACACACAAACTAACAAAATGTCCAATCTGCTTGTTTACAGAACCTTAATTTGATTGTTGTCTAATTTTATGAGTACTGGTAGCCTAAGCTAAATTGTTAAGTACCAATATGGATAAAATATTGTTATAACCTAATGTCCAAAGCCTGATTGCTTGGTTTCTGTTGGGCCATGTAACAGATATATTTTAACTAAGCCTGGTGCAAATAAGGCTGATCAATGCTTGCAGTAGGCCCATAGTTTTGTTAGTAAATACAATGATAAGTTTACTGTCAAGTCAAGGCCCAACCTAATGCTACAAAACTATTAGAAAATTGGATCAGCCTCAAATAATATCAGCCTAATATTTTCTTAGTGCCCGTAATATATATACCCAAAGTACAAAGTTTGAAAACAGACTGTGATTAAGTAGCCTATGGCATCTTATCTAAATGTTTCCTTTCTCTGCTTAAAAATCAAAAGGCAAAAAGGGTCAACCGGAAGTAAGATATTTCGATTTCATCGACTGTCTTTTCAAGCCTTGAGCCCTTTAAAAGTCTGAGAACAGGTAGACCGATGCAACATACCAAAAATGAAATGCACATTCAATTGAAATACATAAGAAGCGACCCAATCTCTATAAAAATTAAGATTTTTTACTTTTTTTGACAGCAATTTGTTTTTATCTGGTACACCAATTACACCTTCTTTGAACAACTCTTCATTTCTTTCTAAGGGGAAGAACTCGTAAATCCATAATGGCCGACTTCGATTGGCCTTGGCAATATAAATTTCCACCTTTCTTCACGTACGTACCTCAAATACTATTAACCCAACGATTTGTAACGATTCATTTTAACACATAATGAATATTGAAATTTCCGTAGCAATGTTTTACATTCAGATATAGATAGCATTTGAATGTGAATAATGGGTATTTGCATTTGGGGTAGGCTATATTTTTCTTGATATTTCTCAGAAAAGTATTTCTACATATCATGACATACTATTGGTACTAATATCTCTGTCATCTTAATGCAGATATTTGAATGCACTTGAAAAAAAAATTGATAAAAATTAATTAATCCATAAATGAAGTAATATTTAATTACAGTAGCTCTGGCATCTGTTAGACTCTTCAATGTCAATGAACTTTTCTTAAATTTGTTGTATTTCAGAATCCAGCCTAATCTAGAAACGAGAAAGAAACAAATTGAAGCCTGGTGCACTTTGATACTGGATTACCAGAAATATTTAAAAAGTTATAGTCTAGATGTGAAAGAAGCACAAAATTCACCTTTATTTTACAATAAATCTATAAGTCGTATCCTTTAGAACAGAAAGAAAGAAACAACCCTTTTTTACAAAGATAAAAACTGAGATTTATAAGGATCCTTTTAACCAGCTGGTCCTTGGCCATTCCCTTTAGAGTTGATCTTTCCCGAATTATCTGTAACCATTTAAGGCTTGGTCGACTGGAATTATGAAAAGAGATGACTTATTCAATGTCACCAGACTTTCTCATGCAGACCAAGATTATATGCAGTTACCACCATATTTCATAATAACCAAGCAAATGACATCATTTCAACTCTTTAACTGAGTGCGCTACAGCTGATCCTCAAATATTTTCAATGTTCTATTCATTTCATCTATTCCTTTAGCATTTCCTTAACAAACTTTAGGACGGTTACATGAAGATGGGATTTATACAATATTAGGAGAGCTTCAGAAGAAAGGTAGCATAAAAAATTCTGTTAACCTCCATTACACACTCAAGCACAGGTTTTTATTGAACTTTTGTTCAATTTTTTATTACCACTCACCACATTAATTGGCTACATTAAATATAACAGCTACTGGTAATAAAAACTGGAATCAAAGCTTCATCTATTTTTGATAAGACTGGTGAAGTAGGACTCATGCGTTCATTTCTTGATTTTAGAAAAATTTTAGAAGTTTGTATTATAAAGCAGCTAAAATGCCCAAAAAAAAAATCAAAAGTTTTACCTTAGTTTTTGACTGAAAATTGATATGATACAAATCAATGCTGATATACATAAAAAGTTTGGAAAACCTATATATAATCCCTTTAATTGTACTTTATTTGTGCTACATGACTAAAATGTTCTGAATTAGAAAGTTAATTGTACTGGATTTGCTGCAGGTCATATAGAATGGAAAGATAAAGGTAGAAAAGAATGTTTAATAATGTGGAGAACTCCAGAAGAATGGGGCAAACTTATTTATAATTGGGTGAGTGTGACATACTTAACTTATATATTCAAAGGTTAAAAATTTCTTATTTCTGAATCATCTGTATACAGGTTTTTTGAATTTTGTGTTCTCTGTATATGATTACAAAAAGATGAGGTTTAGTGTCCTGTTCTAGATTAACACAGAAAATAAGCCAAATGAGTCTCTGTACTTATGTTTACGCTTTTTCTGTTTCTGTTGTAACGAAAACACCGCATTTCTTCTATTCAACATGAATCTTTTTTGCAAAACTGTTGTTATCGGTTATAAGTTGAATATGTTATTTGGCATCTTGGACCTTAAAGATGAGCTGTAGCACAGACCTTTTCTTTGAGATAGATGTGCTCAAGGACATGATCTCCATGAACATTAATTGTTAATCTTGTAGAAAAATTCTTTCTTTCATTCATTGTTTAATTCTGCAGAAAACTGCATTAATTCAGTAAGCTTATAATTGATAAAGAATATCCTTGAACAACATTTGGACATGCTTTTTAGGCTGACAGTAAAGGATTATTAAATACAGTATGTACTATGTATGAAATTTCAAATGGTGATGATTCTGCAGATACAGGTTAGTATAGCCCATTGATGGTTGGGTTGTCTCAAGGTAATGGCAGTGGATCCAGAAAATAATGTTGCCTTGTGTGGGATGTAAACCCATGGAACCTAATTGCCAAGCACTACCTACTGAGAAAATCCACACAAGGTCATTTTTCAAAAGCACTTCCTATGAGTCTAAAAATCTTTTTGTGTTACCCTGTAATGGATTCAAAACCCTGATAGGTAACATCTGATTACCATTGCACTTACAAACAGTAAAAGTAGATTTCATTTTGTTTTACCTTGAAACTGAGAAACAATGTTGCTTAGGACAACCTTTTTCAACACAAAACTTGAAGGGATTGTTTTGTAAACTTTTTATGTGTATCAGGAGCACTAAAAGCATCAATATTTTCAGAAGTACTTGAAATGCCTTTTAAACATTTTTAGGACATCGGTATTGCAATAATGGTATTTTAAAGTGCTTACTTTTAGTGGATCGGTACGAATCGATGCTATCTATGTCCCTAATACATCTAAAAAATTTAAAAAACCTCTTTACAATTCCTTAATTATATGATTGTATTCTTCCAGATTTTCATGGTATAGAAAGTTGGTTATTATTACGTGCACTAAAATCATTACAATTAGAAGGTAAATGTGAAGTCATGGCTGGAAATGAAGGGGTTAAATTCTTTTAGAAAATATCATTGTAAAAATCATTCCACTAGTAGTTAAAGTGCTATATCTTATCATTGGCAATATTTCAGCTAAAATTTCATTGTTTATGTTTAGTCTGTATATTCTACATTACTGATTTTTACCTTTGAACTTGATGTTAAACGCTGCTTCAAAGGAATCTCAGATATATCACTTAATTGCGTAACTGCTAATATTGCATAAAAGGGTTAATTAGGTAAAAGAATTTATTTGGAACCCAAATGCGTAAATTACAGATGGCAAAGCCTAGCCGACCTCTTTTGTAGTAGAAGACCACTGGGAACATTATATTCAACTTCATTTAATAGGATCAACTAATGTAGTTTTGTTCTGTTTTGTCAAGTCTTATTTATGTGTACATAATATTTCAGCCTAATTGTATTATTTTTATTTATAGAATAAAGTACTTTGTATCAAATCATGCCTGGAGGGCTTTATCTTTTTGTAGACTGTACACTTCATCAATAAGGTGTAACGTCACTCTGCCACCCATTTTCTCAATGTTCAGGTATTACAAATTTCATTATCAGGTTTGTAAACAAATGAAAAATGGGAATAAATAAGTGAGGAATATAGTAAACTTCATTTGATAGGGTCAAGCAAAGTTGCTCGGCAATTTTAAGGTCCTGGATTCAAGATTCCAATTAAAAAAATGTCTCTTCTATCATTCTAAGTATACAAAGGTGGTTTGTAAAATATATAGATTTATCCAAAATTGCCTTGGCCCTTTGGGAGCCACTAGGGGGAATTGTTTTAAAACCATTTAAGGTAACCTGTGTTATTTATTTCTACTACAATTTGTGTTGAGAAGATGCTCTACGAAGTACTCTTTCATTTCATATAAAAACGAATCTTTAAACAAGATTTCTAGGCTAATCCTCACTAACTTTGAAAAAAAAAAGTTTACCCTTGAGTTAATTAAAAACAATTAGAGAAAAAAATGGGATTTATTTGTTTCCATGGTCTTCTGGCATAGTCGGAAAATACAAATAAATTTTGTTCTCGAAAAATTACAAACCTACAGGGCTGAAATTTGCAGGGTATATCCACATTGGCAAGCTGGACATTTGAGAAAAAACAGAACTGAAAAAAAACTGCGAATTTTTTTGTTTCTATGGTCTTCGGCTCGCATAGTGGGAAAATACAAATAAATTTTTTTCTCGAAAAGTTACAAAGCTACAGGGCTGAAATTTGTCGGGTATATCCAAATTGGCAAGCTGGATATTTGAGAAAAAACAGAACTGAAAAATCTCCCATAGCATAGGAGTTAGGCCGGAAAACGTATTTCCATTGTCTCCTGTATAGGCCCTAGCGACCGAAAACGGCAACTCACCAACCTCGGCCCAGTGACTCGATTTGGCTCAAGTTTTGGACTTTTTCGACTAATTAGGCCCCAGAAAGTCCGAAAAACACTTCAAACTCAAATTTTTTTGTTTCTATGGTCTTCGGCTCGCATAGTGGGAAAATACAAATAAATTTTTTTCTCGAAAAGTTACAAAGCTACAGGGCTGAAATTTGCAGGGTATATACACATTGGCAAGCTGGACATTTGAGAAAAAACAGAACTGAAAAATCTCCCATAGCCTAGGAGTTAGGCCGGAAAACGTACTTCCATTGTCTCCTGTATAGGCCCTAGCGACCGAAAACGGCAACTCACCAACCTCGGCCCAGTGACTCGATTTGGCTCAAGTTTTGGACTTTTTCGACTAATTAGGCCCCAGGCAGTCCGAAAAACACTTCAAACTCAAGTAAAAACAATTAGAGAAAAATCTGCGATTTTTTTTGTTTCTATGGTCTTCGTCTCGCATAGTGGGAAAATACAAATAAAATTTTTTCTCGAAAAGTTACAAAGCTACAGGGCTGAAATTTGCAGGGTATATCCACATTGGCAAGCTGGACATTTGAGAAAAAACAGAACTGAAAAATCTCCCATAGCCTAGGAGTTAGGCCGGAAAACGTATTTCCATTGTCTCCTGTATAGGCCCTAGCGACAGAAAACGGCAACTCACCAACCTCGGCCCAGTGACTCGATTTGGCTCAAGTTTTGGACTTTTTCGACTAATTAGGCCCCAGGCAGTCCGAAAAACACTTCAAACTCAAGTAAAAACAATTAGAGAAAAATCTGCGAATTTTTTTGTTTCTATGGTCTTCGGCTCGCATAGTGGGAAAATAC